CGAGGCGCTCGGCAAGATGGGGGACTACGCCTCGCCGTTCATGGGCGCCGTGGAGGCCGCCCGCGACGACCCAGCCGAGCTCCAGGCCGTGCGCGAGGCCGCTGCGAGGGTGCTCAGCGCATCGCTGGAGTGAGGTGCCTCTCGCGCGCGCGGTCGGGCGCTAGCTGCCGCCGGCGCGCCCGGGGGGGTGGGGAAGGGCGGGCTCCCGCCGAGTCGACGCGGCGGCGACCTCAGCGCGGGGCGCTCCAGGTGGAACGAGATTGTTTTTTTCCTTCTGACGCGTGACGGTCGCTACCCGGGCCAACCCTTTCCCGTTTAACGGTAAGGGGGCGGGGTGGGCGGCTGGACCCCCCTCACATGGTGGTGTTTGTGCGCCTATCGCAGCGCACCCCTGCCCCGACGTGCCCCACCCCTCCCAAGAGCTACCGATACCCGAGGCCCCAAGCTCGACTGGTACCGGAAATCTTCGAACAGTTGTTGTACTTAGGGGTTCTTTCTTTTTGTCATGAGGAGCGGGGCTCTGGTGTCGGGTCCGCCGCCTTGTTGTCGCCGTCGCCGGCCCGTCGCTGCTTCGTCGCCCCCCGTCGTCTGGGCCTCGGTGTAGGGTCCGCCGCCTTCTTGTCGCCGTCGCCGCCTCGTCGCCGTCCGTCGTCTGGGCTCCGGCGTCGTGTCCGCCGCCTTGTTGTCGCCGTGGTCGCCCCGTCGCCGCCTGGTCGCCGCTCAGGTGTCCGATTTCGGTCCGCCGCCTTGTTCTCGCCGTCGCACCCCCGTCTCCACGTCGTCGCCGCCCGTCGTCTGCGCGTTGTCTGGCTCTGCTTTGAGATTGCACACGATCGATTTTCCCGTCTAGAAACAGAATAGACTCCCCCCCCGGCGTTATCCGCCCCCCTTTCGGGTATGTAAATCATATATGATTATGACCACATGTCCATCTTAAATATGAGTTTACACTATCCGAGAGGAGCCGGGCCGTAAAAAAACGACACGCGGGGACATCTTTTGTTCTAACGTAGCACTTTTTCGCGAATCCCCTGCAAAAAATGGAATGAAGTGCACACGCGCGCTTCGTCGCGCGCGCTTGCCGAAATCCTTCAAAAAGCTTCGATGTCGGAAGGATTTCGCAATCGAGTTTCCAAACATTGATTTGCTAAAAAAGCTTCCGCGCGAGCTCTCGCGAAATTTTAAGAAAACCATGTTTTTTAAGATTTTCACAAAATGCTACCAAACGGGCTTCACGCGCGCACGTCGAAATCTGTCGAACGCCCTTGCGCGTGTGCCGTCGCGAGAGTCCTCTGCAAAAAATGGAGCGAAGTGCAGACGCGCGCGTCGTCGCGCGCGTATGCCGAAATCCTTCAAAACCCATCGGTTTCGGAAGGATTTCAGAATCGTGTGCCCCAAAAACATACAAAAACCCAAGGTTTCGCAACACGGATTTTCAACAAAAGCGTGCGCGCGCGCTCTTGCGTCGTCGTCGTCGTCGCCTTCCTCCCTCCTCCCGCGTCGTCGTCGTCGTCGTCGCCGTTGTCCTCTGTCTTTCCTCGTGTTCGTCGTCGTCGTCCTCGTTGGCGTCGTGGTCGTTTCCGCCGTCGTTGTCGCCGTGCTCGTCCTTCCTCCTCCCTCGTCGTCGTCGTCGTCCGTCGTCGGCGTCTCGTCGTCGTCCCTCCTTTTTTGTCGCCGTCGTCGTCGTCGTCGTCGTTGTCGTCGTCGTCGTCTTCCTTCCTCCCTCGTCGTTGTCGTCGTCGGCGTCGCCGTCCTTCCTCCTTCTTCGTCGTTCGCGTCGTCGCCGTCCTCCCTCCTCCCTCGTCGTTGTCGTCGTTGTCGTCGTTGTCGCCGTCATCGTCCTCCCTCCTCCCTCGTCGTCGTCTTCGTTGGCGACGTCGTTGTCGTCGTCGTCGTCGTTGTCTTCGTCGTCGTCGTCGTCGTCGTCGTCGTCGTCGGCGTCGTTGTCATCGTCGTCGTCGTCGTCGTCGGCGTCGTCGTCGGGGTCGTCGTCGTCGCGGTCGCTGTCGTCGTCGAAGTCGTTGGAGACGTCGTCTGTGTCGTCGTCGTCGGTGTCGGCGACGCCGTCGTCGTCGTTGTCGCTGTCGCTGTCGTCGTCGGTGTCGTGGCCAAGTGCCATCTGGTACCTACCGTCACGGTCTTGTCTGAAGAGGTCTTGCGACCAAGTTGCGGGTGGGAGGGTGGGATGTTTGCACGAGCAGTGGAGAGGACAGTTTCAAGTTGAGCAAGTGATTGATTACACCACATAGACTGCACCACATTCATTGCACCACATGGTGAAGTACACCAGAGAGATTACACCACAGGGATCCACGCTGGCAAGCATGCTAAATTCGCAATCTCAACGCCACCGTCGGTCGGGAGTCGGCCGACATCGAGTCGTCTGCGCTATCGGAAAGCCGCGATCGTTCAAGTTTGAAAAATCCACGCGGTGTCAGGGACCGGCGCCAGAGTCATTAGCACATGTTCCCGCATGCTGCATCCAGATGCGCTGCCGCGCGAATCCGCCACCGCGCTCAGGCGGGCACCTGGAGGTGGGGGGGCGCAAGAGGGTAGGGGTGGCGCCTGGGGAGGCTACGTGCCACATAACATCGTGTCCGAGCTCATGCTCTTGGCATACACTGTCTTTCGCTCGCGCGGAAGATGATACGATCAGCTATTTGGTAAATCGTTGCGCATGTTGGGCCCGATACAAGATGGCAAGGGCTTCTTTGGGGCTTTCTACGCTGGGCGCGGCTCGGGAACTTGTTCGCGATTTTGATGGAGGGTAGCTGTGCAGATCCACCTCGCGCGTCCTCCTCCCCCCTCCCAGGAGGACAGCAGTTCGAGGAGCCGTCCCAGGCCCAGGCGGGTCTTGCTACCTCGAACTTTGGGACGGCGCTGTGAGGTAGCGAGCCAATTGGCTCGGCCCCTCTCTCCAGGTCGTCACGCCTCTGCCATGGCAAAAGGCGGCGCTGGATCACGGGGCGCGGCGCTCGGCGGCGGCGGCGGCGGCGGCCAGCCATCCGGCTTCGACTGGAAGGGCAAGGGCCGCGGAGGTCAGGGCAAAGGAGCTGCAGGCGGTGCGCCTTGGCAGACCCGACGCCCACCCTCCCGCCGCGCCGAGCGTGAGCTCAAGTGGCGCTGTGGGCACTGCAACTGCGCCCGCAACCTCGACTCCATGGTCTACTGCAAGCACTGCGGGGAGCGGCGCACGGAGGCGCCCAGTCAAGGAGCTGATGCGGCCCTGGGCGGCGGCCCGCGCAGGCGACCCTCGGCTCCTCTTCGTGGTGCCCTTCCTGCTGGCAATGGTGCTGATACAGCTGTCGATCACAACTTCACGGTGGACGAACTCGACCAGCTGGTGCGCCTGGCCGAGAAAGCAGGAGATGCCCATGCCGTCGGTCGCTACAAGCAGCAGCTCCAGTCCAAGAGAGCTGGTGATCCGCCCCCGCAGCAGCGCATCACAGACATCGGCGCCAAGGTCGCAGTGATTGAGGATTGATTGGATAAGGAAGTCCAGAAACTCGAGCAGTACCAGTCCTGGGTGGCCACGCAGCTGGCGACAGTCGCCGAGCTCACGGGCCGCCTCTCTGCTGCCGACGCCAAGTACAAGGAAGCTGCCACCTCCCTCTCTGGTGTCCAGGCTCAGAGTCGTGCAGGTTCCCAGCCCCCACCGGCTAAGTTGTCAATCGAAGAAGTGGTGAATGGCACAGGTGACATTCTCAACCTTATTGACGTCGACTCGCATTTCAATGTGGATGGATATGAAGTTCCTGATGAGGACCGCAAGAGTATCACTGAACGGCGTGATCAACTGTATGACCAGCTCCAGACTGCCGCCAAGGGCCTCTTCTCGGAGGCCGTGGCCAAGATGGAGTCCATCAAGGCAGATCACGCGGCCCACCTCGCCCGCCTCTCCAAGAAGAGGAAAGGACCTGATGGCGGGGGAGTTGCAGCGACACCTACTCAGCCTGAGGTGCCGAAGGATAAGGACGGTGACTTGCATCCGAGATAGAAGGAGCGACAAGTTGGCTTAGCCGATCCTGATCGACCTGCGTCGCGGTCGCCTGCACCCACCAGGGCCTCAGGATCCTCGACTTCATCCATTCGTGAGCGTGCCGCAGCCCAGATCAAGGCCGCGGCTTCAGCCCGCAGCCCCCCCGCTGCTACTCAGGTCGGAGCTTGAGAGTTGCAGGGGGGCATTCCCATTTGTTTCACGGCAGCAGAGTAAAGACCGCGAAGCCAGACGTGTGCATGGGCGCACACGCCTCGAGGCCACAAGCGGCTGCATCCTGGCTCTTGCCAATGCCCGCCTGACCCGCTCCTCGACGCAGGCTTTGGCCGCCCGAGCGAGAGCGAGTCTTTGTGGGGGAAGGCGCGCAGCCCATTTAACCTGTCTGCGGCCCAGGCCCCCGGCCCGTCTGAGGCCCCTGGCCGGCCACCCTCGCCTAGACCTCGGGAGTCTCTGGCCCAGACCCCTAGCAGCTTTAGTGGGGCGGTGTGGGCACGTGCCGATTCCGCTCGCAACTTTTGCCCCCCCCCCCCCCGCCCCCTCCACCGCCGCCGCCCGCGCCGCCCGCCCACCCACGCCACCGCCGCCGCCGCCCCCCCCCCTCCCCCCCCCCCGCCCCCCCCCCCCCCTCCCCCCCACACCCCTCTCCCCCCCTCTCCCCCCCCCCCCACACACGCGCGCGCGCGCGCGCACACACGCGCACACGCGCACACGCACCCACACACGCACGCACCCACACCCACACCCACCCGCACCCACACCCACACCCACACCCACACCCACACACACACACACACACGCACACACGCACGCACACACGCACACACGCACACACGCACGCACGCACACACGCACACACGCGCACACACGCACACACGCACACACGCACACACGCACGCACGCACACACGCACACACGCACACACGCACACACGCACACACGCACACACGCACGCACACACGCACACACGCACACACGCACACACGCACACACGCACACACGCACACACGCACACACGCACACACCACACAACACACGCACACACTCACACACGCACACACGCACACACGCACACGCACACGCACACACGCACACACGCACACACGCACACACGCACACACGCACACACGCACACGCACACACGCACACGCACACTCACACGCACGCGCACACGCACACGCCTCACACGCGCACACACACGCACGCACACACACCCTCCCCCCCCCCCCCCCCCACACACACACGCACACGCACGCGCCCCGCCCCTCCACGCGCGCGCGCACACGCACGCACACGCGCACACCACCCACGCCCCACCCCCTGGAGATGCTCAATGTTCGTTCAAAGTAGAGACTCTCAACTGTGCGGCCTGGTCGTCTCTGCAGAAGTGGCTTCCCCATTGTGCCTCGCGCGTCGTCCTGCTGCAGGGGCGCCGCCTTCGTTCAGGGGGCGAAGCTGACCGTGCTTCTTCTTGGGCGAAGGTTCATGGGTGGCAAATCTTACTCACGCCTGCCCTCCCCACCTCCGCTGGTGGGACGTCGGCTGGCGTTGGAATCATGGTTCGCGACTGTCTCGGCCTCCGTCCCCCGTCAGGGGGTCATGTTCTGATCCCGCACATGGCGGCAGGTGCGATTGTTAACGTCCCAGGAGGCGAGACTTTGTACGCCTCCAGCCTCTACCTCTACCACTCCCAGGGGCTCAGCGACCTGAGCGTTGGTCTCCTGTCCCATGTGGCTGCAGCGCTGGAAGTCTGGGCTGGGCCGTGCATCCTGGGGGCTGATTTTAACATGGAACCGTTGTTTTTTTGTTCAGGAGTCCGGGTTCGCCAGGTCTTGTGGGGGACGTGTCGTGGTCCCTGAGGCCGCCTCTGGATCTTGTTTAGCCTCTGGTGGGCTGCGTCTGCTCGATTATTTTGTGGTTTCCAGTGGTCTATCTAAAGGGCTATCCAAAGTGCTCGTCGAACATGCCGCATGTACGTCGCCGCGCTCGCCCGTGCCCCTGGAGTTCCATCCGCAGCTGGCGCAGCTATATGGTCTGAAGTTCCGACGACCCCCCCCCCCCCCCCCCCCCCCCCCCCACCACCACCACCACCACCACGCTTGTGGGCCCCATCATCGGACCGCCACCGCAGCCTCCAAGGTGGGAACACGCGAGGGCCCTGGGTCATCAGCTCTTGGAGGCCGTCGACTCTGGGAGAACCCAGCATGTCCAGAAGTTGCTTGATGCGGTCTATTCTTCCTGGGCCAACCTTTCTGAGCGTGAGGTGGCCAACTCGCGTGGTGCCAAGTTGCCGTGCATTGGGTCTCGTGGCAAGGCCCCGCGGATGCATTGGGCCCTGGTCCTTGAGCAGGACAGAAAGCCGTCTGTGCGTCAACCAGTCTTCTATGCGATCAGGTGGTTGTTCCTTAAGTTCAAAATGTAAATACGTTTGCGCAGTGGTTCCGCAGGGCTCGCCGCCTTGCAGCAGGCTGTCGAGGTGAAGCGTTTGATCTGTGACCCACCATCGTTCTTACAGCCGCGGCTCTTTCACCGCAGCCGCTGGCATTCCGCTGTTCGTGCTGCTGTCGAGCAGTCGTTTGATCAAGATCAGTGTGGCACGCTATGTGACCAACTCGACGTTGCAGTATCAGTTGCTGAGGCGATAGCCCAGCAGGAGGCTTTAGTTGATTGGAAGTAGTGGCTGTTGGACAAAGTCGAGGCGGGTGCCAGGCGTGCGCATACGGTCGTTCGAGGCTTTACACCGTGGGCCCCCACTACGGCTTTGCTCTGCACTGGCGCGTTTGTGGCTGACCCGCAGGCTCTGCTCGACGCCCAGGCTGCGCAGTGCTCTCAGCTCTGGCATGCGCATCAGCAACCTCGGCAACATCGTGAATCGTTTCAGCCCCGACCTTCCCTTCCTCGCCTGTCCCCTGATGCTTTTCGGGCTTCTAGTGGTAAGTTTCCCAAGGGCACAGCAACTTCGATCGACGGGTTTCACGTGCGTCACTTCGAGTCGTTGCCGGATGACTTGCTCGACCTCTTGTCCGTGATCTGTGTTGCTATGGAGTCCAGCAGTCATACCCAGGCAGGCCGATGCTACCATCATGTCTCTCATTGGTAAGCAGGCCGGGGGCTTTAGGCCCATCGGCCTCTTTTCTTGCATGTATCGCTTGTGGGGAAGGGGGGGGGGGGGGGGCTACGCTACCAGATGGGAGGAGGAGCACCGTCGGCCATATTTTGCAGCTGGAAAGTTCACGTCGTCCACTTACGTGGTCTGGAGGCAATCCGTGAAAGGGGAGGCCGCGGTGCACGATGGCAAAGTCTCAGCAATCTTGTTGTGGGGCCATGTGAAGTGCTTTGAGTCGATTATCCTCGGCCTCCCCCTCCAACGATGTGCCCAACATGGTTTTGACATGGCGATCGCTCGGCTGGTCATAGCCATGCACAGCAGCGCACGTTTTGTTACGATGTGCCAGCTGCTTCGTGGCCCTTTCTACGTCTAGCACGGCATTGTGGCGGGATGCCCGCTCGCAGCTATTATGGTAAGGATATTTAGAATCGGCCCGCTCGACTCGGCTAGCCTCCCCAGGACAGTTTCGCTCGACGTGTACATCGATGATTACGGTTTATCGACTGCCGGCACGAGTTCGGAAGTAATATATGACCTGTCGGAGGTGGCCACCTTGTTGAGCGCTGCCATTGTTGACGACATCGGTGGCAGCGTCTCTCATGCGAAGGCTAACCTGGTGGCCTCTCATCGCCACGTTGCCGTCGCTCAACGCAAAAGACTTGGAGCTCTCGCTGGCCAGCGAGTCGTGTCTTCTGCAGCCAACCTTGGAGTTGACCACACCTCTGGACGGCCCCGTCGGGCCCCCAAGCGTTCCAAGGTTTTCCTGCTTCGAATGCTGATGCTGAAGCGCAAGACGAAGCGGCTGCAGAAGATACGGCAAGGTTTAGGTAGACATTCCAGGAAGCTATGTATTACTTGGCCTCTGCCTGGGTACTAATACGGGTGCGAGGTTCACGGGGTCTCGGACAGGGAGTGGGGGATTGCCCGACGTGCTTTTAGTCGCTGCATCAGGCCCAAGGTTGGGTCCCGCTCGCTCACCTCCGCTGTGGTTCTCGACAGGGACCCTACCTACGATGGACCTATCGCCCCCGTCCTGAGGTGCGCCAAGGAGCTCTGGTGGACCCGCATGCGTATCTTTGATTTTACCTTGACCTGGAGTGAGCTCAGATCGTCTTGGGAGCCTGTGTTCTTATGTCCTGGGCCCGATCGCTGGAAGCAGGTCACGGGCCCCATCAGTGCCAGGAAGCTCAGCTTGCGACCCATTGGATGGTCGATGCCGAGCTCCACGGTAATGAAGGATCAGTTCGGCGTTATTTTGCCGCTCACGCTTGGGAGCCCTGCACTATTGAAACGTCATCTTAGGCTTGCTGTTGTTCACCTTCATGAGCGCCGTTCAGGCGCCAAGCTGCTTCCCACTCTTCAACAGCCAGTCCGAGTGTGCCATTAGCAGGTGCATGCTATGTTGCAGTCGTTCACATTCACGTCCTTCGAGAAGGGCCCCGTTAGAGCCCTCGCTTGTGCTGCAGTTTGGGGTAAGACCCGCGCTCGGGCTGCGGGGTGCCAGGTGGCGAGTGGACTATGTGATTTATGTGGCAGTGCGGACGACGCGATCTTGCACCGCCTGTGGCACTGCCCCGCATGTGATGACACCCGCGCGGAAGACCTTGGGAGAGACGCGCACCTGGTTCCCCCCTCTGACCTCGCAGAGGAGAGCGACCCAGAGCAGTATCTCCTCTACGCCCGAGGGCTCCACGCTCATCCTGGGGACTATCTTCCTCGCCCAGCTCATGATATCCATGGTCCTGGTTCTGGCATCCAGGCTTCTTGGGCTGGGGGCCCCTTCAACAGCGGCACCGCCCTCAATGGTAGGCTCTATGTTGACGGCTCGCGTTGTAGGAATGTGTCTCCTGAGCTCTCCAGGGCGGGGCGGTCGGTGGTTAGTGTTTCTGAATTGGGGGAAGTGCATTGCATTGTCTCGGGGCCCCTGCTGGCGCACCTCCCCTAAACCTCGCAAGCTGCCGAGCACGCGGCCTATGCCGCGGCCGCCCAGTGTGGAGATGTAGGCAGTCACATTTTTAGCGACTGCCAGAATGCGGTTAACTCAGCTCTTGACCCCACCCCCTTCCCGCCTGTCTTTTCGCCGCCCGCGCGCGGGGTTTATGCCCCGGGCCCTGGGCCCTATAGCCAGCGCTGTCAGTGAGGTGAAGGGGCGCGTTCCCGAGCGTTCTGGCCTCGCGCCTGAGGGGCGCGCCCGTAAGTTCGGGAACGATTGCGCTGGCCAGGCTGGGCCCCCCTCTCGAAGAACAAGACACGGTATAAACATAAACTTGTGGCGGTGCGCGCTGATTTCGTGGGTTCGTGCTGGGACCCCCTGGCGGGTTCCGCGCGCCAGGGAGGGGGGCCCAGCGCAGAGCCAAGAAATCCGCTCCAGTCTGGAGCCCCCCATCGGGGGCCAGAAGGCCGGAGGGCGTTGGATCCTTCAGAGGCCTCCTGGACCAAACCCCCCTCCGCTCCGGGGCCTCCTTCTCTTCCCCCTCACGACTGGCCCTGGGGGCGGCAGGTTTGGGGGCGCAAGCCTGTATTCTTTGATGTGGACCAGGGTGGAGGCATATTAGTTGCCTGCACCCGATGCTTCTATTATACGCGCGGCGGCCAGGTCAGGAAGCTGGGCAAGCAGTGCCCTGGCCCACCCGACAGGCAGAACAAGTCTGATCATGGCCGCAGGCACGCGTGGAATGCGATCATGAAAGGACGGCACCCCAAAAGCGGAGTGCCGCTCGCCTCTGGCCTCGATGACGCGTCGTCGGAGCCACCCCTCGGCCACGATGACGTGGTCAACCGCCAGGCGCCCGCGCCGCCCCCCACCTTGGTCGCCCCGCCGTCGGGTCGTGATCGTGACGGGTGGGGGGCGGGACAGGCTGGGCCGCCTGGTGTCCTGGGACTTTTTTCCTCCTCCTCCACCCCTCCCAACGCGGTGGGGTCGGTGGAGCCCCACGAGCTGCTCCCTGCGGTGGATGAGTGAGGATGGAACTCGCAAGGCCGAAAAGTGAAGCTCCTCAAACGGCGCCTGTCCGTCAGAGATGCAACTGGCAGGCTCTATCTGAAGGCAGGCTCTCTCTGAAGGGCCCTCTCTGAGGGCCCGTCTACGTCTGGAGCTGCTCGTGCAAGGTCAGCGGGGTCTGGCGACTCCGACTGAGCCTGCGGTCCTGGGGCGCCCTTCGTTTGCGATGGCCACCGCCCATTTCTTTTGCCCCAGCTGATGTTTCCGCCCAGTGCTGTTTCATCCTGGAGGCGTTCACGCCCTTTGCGGTTGATGTTGAAAAAGAACAGCAGTCAGAGGAGGAGGGGTGTGTGGTATGGTGAAGAACCGCGGGCGAGAAAATCTTCGACCCCATAGGGACACTGCGTTTTTGTTCGTGTTTGCCCCCCCCCGCGGAGCGTGTCCGTGCGACGTCGCATCCACGGGATGGCACCCTCCACACCGCGACGGCGTGGATGAGGGGAGAATCGGACCTCAACTCTTCGATTCCTGAGGATGCGTCCAGGGATTGGTTCAGAGCGGGCCACTTTCGAGGGCAGCGCGAGCGCGAGCCCGCCTGCCTTCACGCAGCCCATCCCAGAAGCCCTCCTGCAGTCAAGGCGCTGAGATCAGGGCCACTCTGCATCATCGTCAGGATCGCCCCCGCCCCCGCTGGCAAGGGGCAGGTTGGCTCTCCCAGCGTACCCTCCCCAGGCGGGGCTGGGAGCCGCGAGGGCCGAAGGAGGCGGCACCCATCCCCACCTGGGGGAAGGGGGAGGTCGGCCGGCGGGGCGAAGGTCCCCCCCGGGGTGGTGGGGATGGTTTTTCGTTGGCATAGCGTTGGGCTCAGACAGGGGGTTCTGTCGGGGCCGTTCCGCAGGTCTTGGTCGGGGAGTCCAGGCCTGGCCTTGGCCAGCGGTCCTCTTGCCAGCATCTCGGGCACAGGGAGGGGGGCGGGCCGCATGATCCTTCCTAGTCGCCCCCTCTGCCTATGCCTCCAGGCCTCCAGGCCTCGCCCTTTGCCCCATCCCCCCCCCGCACGCGCCGCTGATGGATAGGGGCCGTGCAGCGCTGGGTTCCCTTGACGGGCGTCATTGAGGGCAGTCGCGACGGTCGGCGTTTCCTCTGCCCTCCCTCGGGGCCCCTCGGCTGGGACGCCTGGGGTCTTGCAGCGCCGCCGTGGACCCAGCCGCCCACGCGGTCCCGCCGTCTCCTCCTCCCCCTCCCCCTCCCCCTCCCCCCCTCCTCCTCCTCCTCCTCCTCCTCCTCCTCCTCCTCCTCCTCTCCTCCTCCTCCTCCTCCTCCTCCTCCTCCTCCTCCTCCTCCTCCTCCTCCTCCTCCTCCTCCTCTCCCTGACGTCGCACATTCCGATTTCAGAGTTCACACTGGTTTCAAGGGGTCACATGGTTAACGTACCAGAAATCGTATTTTGTCACGATGTCGGACTGTCAGGGCGCAGCCGATATTGAAATCCAAGGAATGGAGTTCTGGCAAGACTCAGGTTCGTGAAGACGCAACAGTCACGGTGATTCGCGGCGTTGAAGTCCCAGGAATAGTTTTTGTTGGCACCGTGCAGGTTTCAACGGAGCACTTCCTTCAGCCGAGATGAATTATTGTAGGGTCCTGCGGGGAGGGAGCTTGGAGGGAGGGAGCTAGGAGGGAGCGTGGAGGGTGCTGATAGGCCTTGGGTTTACACTGGTCCTCCTCCTCCTCATCCTCCTCGTCCTCCTCGTGGATCGTTTCGGGGCTTCACGCGCAAGGAATCGTTCGCGACGCTGGATGTCAGGGTCGCGCCACCGCCCCGAGACAGAGTAGTGGGCAGCCGGTCGCGCAGGCCGTTCATAGATTGAAGCAGGTCTGCGGCGGCTCCGGGAGCTGGGGGCGACAAACTGGCCGCCACGCCTGGCTGCATCTGTGGTTGTGTCGTGTGTGTTGGACGGTGGGGCCTCTCGTCAGGCGCAACCGTCAAGCTCTGGCGCAAAGGGCCGCCAAGGTCCGCGCGGAGGCCGCCGAATGCCACCAGAGGCCGCCGAAAGCCGGCGGGCAACATGGGGTTCTGTGGTCGAGCGTCTTCTCCCCTCCTACTCCCCCTATGCCGCGGTTCCTCCTCCTCTTCCTTTCCCGCGCGCTCTCCTCGCTCCTCCTTTTCCTCCCTCTCGCTCCTCCATTCCTTCCCCTAATAGATAATCGTTCCCTGTCGCACCCCGAGGCCAGCTTCTAGGGTGTCACCATGTATGATTTTGAAGCTTTGAAATCGGCAACAGCTTCGCAGATGGAGGGCGGGTCGTTCTCAAAATGTGGCTCTCGCCTTAGCGCCGCGCACTGTCGTTTAAAACAGCTCAGGAGCTTCACGGGTTGAGGGCGAGCCGTTTTCGAAATGTGGCTCTCGCCTCAGCGTCGCGCGCATTCGTATTGAAACGGCGCAAGAGCTTCACGGATTGAGGGCGGCTCCTTTTCACAATGGGGATATCGCTTTAGCACCGTGTACACTAATTTGTACGTTGCAGGAGTTCCACGGATTCCCATGATCAGAGTACCACAAATAGGGTTTTTGAAGAATTCGCGATTACGCTGGCGCAGCAGTTACGTTGATTCGCGGTGTTGACGTCCCAGGAATGGCATGCTGGCACAATCTAGGATTGTCAAGGCGCAGCAGTCAGGTTGATCCGTAACGATGGAATCCCGAGAACAACGTTTATGCATGATTCTGGGTCTTCAAACTGTCAGTTGTCCTCCAAGTGAACCGGCATGGTGGCCTATGAAGAGGGAACTTGGAGGGACGGCGTATTCCAACATCATTGATGACTCTTGGTTTGTCACTGGTCCTCCTCCTCCTCCTCCTCCTCCTCCTCGTCCCTCTCCTCATCCTCCTCCTCATCCTCCTCCTCGGTCCTCCTCGTCTCTCCTCCTTCTCTCTCCTTTTCCTCCTCCCCCTGTGAACGTTATTGCATGCCCAATCGTTTGGCCGCTGCACGGCAAGGGGAAGCGATCGTGCCTCCGCCGCCGTTCCTTGCTCACGCTTTTTAGAGAGCGGCGGGCCCCATGTTTCACCAGTTTTTTGGCCCAGACCAGTCGTTCCGCGGCGAGCGAGATAGTGGTGGGCTGGGCGCGTCGGCTCGGTGGTTTCTTCGTCGAGGGCGGCCAGCTGGCGACCGCGGCCGTGCAGCTGGGCGGGATCCGCGCCGTCCTCTGCGTCGTGTTCGCCGTGGGCGCGCTGGCGGGTTGCTGTTGTTGCTGCTTCGCGTGCGTGCTGGCGAAGGGTATCGTCCACCATGGCGTTCGTCTTGCGGGCTGGGATGCGAGTGTTCGTGCAGTGGCGCGCGAGCGAAGATTTCCAGGCGAGGCTGCTCCTGCGCCTGTCCGACGGCGACGAGTACGAGACCGAGCTTGGGACGCAAGTGGCGGGTCCAACGGGTCAGGTGTGGATGGCCGCTACCCCAAACTTAGAAATCTACCCTCACGAGCTGGAGGGGCCGCCGCTCCACGCGCTGGCCCCATGCGATCTGACGGGCCAGCCGCGGTGGCGCGAACGAGTGGGCTGGAACGGATCTCGCTGGGCTCGACCCCAGTGCGGTTCCCATTGGTCTCCGACGGCCCCCGAGTGAGACCTTCAGCGGGGGAGATGGCGGACGTGGACCAGCTGGTGCGGGCGATTCCACCGGGCCCGCTGGATGGGACAGCGACTCCTTCTGAATGGCTGCTGCGAGGCTCAGGGAAGCTTGAAACTGAACTTGGGCGGCGGTGGCTCATCGTCATGGCGAGCGACGACAAAAGTGAGGTGAATGTGCTGGCCGACTTCGACATTGGCGATTGGTTCGCGACATGCGACACGCTCGCGGTCGCGAAGGCCGGCGGGAAGTGCCATTTGCAGAAGTTGGGATCCGGCAAGAGCCCACCAATAGCACGATGCGAAACGCATCACGGCGACGGGGTTCCATGCGCATACTTCCTGCTCCACCCCCGGCACCAGCCCCCGTGATCAGGTTTGCCGACTTCGCGTTCTGACTGTTCCATGGTTGGGGGGGAGGGTTTGGCGCGTCATGGTGGCTCTTGGCTCAGACCAACTGTACCCTCGATGACTCCTCATGCGCCCCATGCCATCATAGGATGTTAAGCCGGTGAGGTGTTATCACCTTCGCCCTCCCCCGTCGATTCCCAGCACCCACCAGATCTCCAACCGCCAGCATATGACTTCCCACTTCCACCTCCACCTGCAGAGTTCGTTCGCATCTCCTCCTCAACACCAACATCGATCCGGCCTTTCATCGCTATTCACAACAATGCGTACAGCCTCACAACAGACGACTCTAATGGGGCCCTTCTGCGAGAACCCGATGGCTTGGATGGGGGCGCGCTGGCAATCAACGAGATTTGGAGGGCCGAACCCCGTGACACGTGGTCGACTAGTCCGGGGAACAAGTGTTCGCAGGGCCAGGCCATGCCACATGACGCGGCGTTGCCGTTTTGATCCGCCACAGGCGCACGAAGCACACGTAGTTTCACAACAATCATCGAACGAACCGCCTGCATCGACATCGACCTCCACACTCGCAGGTTTTGAATCATCGCGGCGTATGTCCCCAATTCCCGCTTTGCTGACGCGCGCAGACTACGTGCGACCATTTGGCCGCGCCCTGCGTCGACGCGGGGAAATAGCGGCGCGCGAGCATCAGCGCTGATGATTTGCATGTTCAAGTTGGGAAACGCCCCGCTGAGGACGACAGCGTCGACGACTGCGCCGACGACGCGGGCAAATTCGGACTGGGAGTGCGCAGTCCACGAGCGGCGCGGCTCAGAGCGTGGACGAATGCTCCGAGACATGTTATCGCAGATAGATTTTTCCACGAATACCATCGCAACGTATGCGCCTGCTCGCCCAGCGGTGACAGGACAAGCCAACCCCAGATTGATTGCATTCTAAGTGACAGGAGGCGTCGCAACCGAATGGTCCAGTCGCGTGCCCCCGACGCGCTGGATCTCGGGTCTGACCGCCGCGACGCCGCCGCGTTGCCGCCGAACCGACCACTGGCGATCAGCTATACATGCGATGCCTCCGTCAACAACTTGGCGATTCGACTGACTGCAGAACCTTTGGCGGCAGGAGCAAACGGTTAGCGGCGGCGACGGCGGGCGCCCGCGACGACTGCCGGCAGCGCCGAAGCAACCGCGACGAGAGCTCACATAATATATCGGCGATAGCGCATTCACGCGGCCCCAGACACTCGTCGACCTGCGACGCAACTCCGGGCCAGCAGACGCAGCCAACAGAGCAATGATCAGCGAGCGAAGCGGGAGACATATGCGGGGCATTGAAGCACTCGTACAGGGCGCCAAGCTTCAGGGCGTCGTTTGCCGATTCGGGAGTTGGAAGAAAATTGCCGGTTTGAGGACAGGCAGGCACAAAGACATCCATTCGATGGCGACATCGACGAGAAGCGAAGAAACCGACCGACGAGGCGTTGCAGACGCACGCGCAATGTCCCACGGGCAACTCCACGAGCTCTCGCGCGACACGGGCGGCGCGGACGACGCCGCCGACGATTTGCCGAGCGACGCAGCCATTCCTTGTTCTGCCGCCGAGGAGTTCGACGCAGCAATTCGCAATCTCAAGAGCGGCAAGTGCAAGGGCGCCGCGGGGCTCGCAGCAGAACCGCGCGCGGCAGGTAGCGCCGCCATCCAGCGCCACCTTGTGCCGCTCTACAACGATATCACCCAGGTCTCGACAAACCCCGCCAGACCAGTGGAAACGCGCCGCGATCTCTGTGACCCATAGAGTGGGGGATCCAACGCTCCCAAACCATTCCAGACCGATTGCCTTGGTACCATTATTGCAGAAATGTATGTCTTGCCTCCTCTGCAACAGGTTAGCTGCTTTGCTCGATGCCCAGCGAAGCCCCGATCAGGCCAGACATCGCAAATATTATTGCGCAAGGGGCCGCCTTGTCACCGCGACCATGATGCACGAGCATTCTGGCGAATGGCAACAACCGCCCTGGGCAGCAGCAGTCGGTTTCAAGAGAGCTCTCGACTGCGTGGACCACCGATGCCTGTGGACAGCGCATCGACAGCGGCGCGCCCCCGTCGCGCGCGTGGGCTTTCTGGGGCAATTATACCAAGACCGCGCAGCATCACGAAGCAACTGACACCAATGGCAGAGACTTCAAAGCCGAGCGGGGTCAAGCACGGAGACCCATTCAGTTCCTTCCTGTTCAACGTGGTGCTCGAGCACGTCCATGGGTAACTACAGCCTGGATGGCCTCGCAGGAAGTTTGGCTCAAGTCGGTTGTGCGCCCCCAGGCCGGATGGCCAACTTACTTTTCGTAGACGATGCGCTTCTCTACGCGCCCAACCTTCGGCAGCTAACTCGCGCGCTGCTCGACGCGCGACACGGGGCGGCGAAGCGTGGATTAATGTTGCGCCCTGACAGAACCAAGATCCTCAGAAGTGTCAGACGAAGAGAACGAATGCCGATATCTGATCTACGCGTCGACGGCCAGATCTCCGAAAGTGTGGACTCCCAGCAGAACTCGAAGCATTCCGGAAGTGAGCTGACGATCCGCGATTTTTGCGAAGTTGAGCTTCGGAACCAGATTGCTCCTGGTTGGGGGCGCTTCAATCGGTTGCGATGCGAGCTGGCGAACATGCGCTTCCTTCTCGACATCTGATTGAGACCCTTCAACGGGGCAATCGCACCTGCGGTGACGCACGGATGCTGCTCGTGGACCCTCACGATAGGTGCAGCGGATGGCAAATCATTGCCGTGGCCGAGGGGCCCGCCTATCAGCTTCGCGGGGGCCGCGCGTCCACGACCCGCGCCCGGCGCGCCGCCTGCGCGGTGGACAGCGCAAGCGCTGGTCAGATGACGCGGCAATATTTTTACCCGCGGGGCAGATTAGGCACAGCTGCGACGACGACGGCAACGATTGTTAACAATGGTTGCGCATTGCTACGATCCAACAGCAATGGGATGCATTTGGGGGGATATTTGTCATTTACCACAACCCCGACCTTTAGCTCTGACCGCGCCCCGGCCCGCGCGACGCGCCCTTGCAGGGGCGCCCCCCCCCCCGGCGGCGCGCGCCGGCGTCTCGCCTCGCCTCGCCTCGCATTGTGTTCGGCCCCCCTTCCAGGGCGACCCCCCCTGTGGGCACTCTCGCATATAGTGATGATGCGTGGGTAGTAGGCATCTCAGAGGCAGTCCATAAGGGGGCGGCGTCTGTAGCGTCTTCAGTAGGTAGCTAACATATAGCGAAACAGCTGCTGACATTACACAAAGGGCCCGTGCGTCGGCTGAAAGGGGAAGGGGGCGCGCCGGTCACCCGAGGCCTGCAAAGCCTTGGGGTCCTCCGATGGAGTCAACAATCGAGCAACCAGGGCGAACAGAGAGCCCTGGGAGCAAGGGGGTGAAAAGGGTGGCGCCAGCGACTGCAGTGGCGACTGAGGAACGCGTTTCAATGGTGCATCTGGAACGGCGCACTCCTTTCCCCCCCCCTCGCAGCACCGAGAGGACTCCGAGACCCTTCAGAAGATCCCTAGCCCGGAGAGGGCACCGAGTCCCAAGATGGCGAAAGGGGGCCCAAGGGGCTTTCCCAGGCCACCGTAGCTGGTGTGGACGAACATTTCAGCGCGCGGGCGCGAGCCCGGGCCGCCCTCCAGGGCTTCCGCCGCCCGGCGCTTGGGCAGATGAGGTCGCCGCTGACGCGGCCAGAGTTCGCCGCGCCGCTGGGCGCCGGAGTCGCGGCGCCGGGGCGGCTCGCCCCGCCCCCGCCGCGCCCGGGCGTCGGCAATTGGGGCCTTCCCACATGCCCAGCCGCGGCGGGGGCGACGATCAAGTCCGGCCTCGAGCGCGAGGGGCTGCCTCTGGACGGCGCGTTCACGGAGCGGCTCGAGGCGCAGCTGCCGCGGCTGGAGAGGGCCGCTGGCGAGACCGGCTGCCCGCGGCCATTCGCCGCCGCGGAGTTCAGAGCAGGGTTCAAGAGAGAGCGGCCGCCGCGATCGGGCGGACGCCCGGCGCGTCACGGCGCGGCCAGCGGCGACGCGCTGCGCCGACGGCAGATCTTGACTGAGATCCAGGAGCGGCTGCGCCCCTCGCGCCCGAAGAGCACCATGAGGTACAAGAAGCGCGCGCGGTACCTGGCCGAGCTCGGCAAGGCGTCGCCGCGCACGCGGGCGCGCAGCGAAGCGGTGGAGGCGCAGGTCGCGGCGGTACTGAACGGACGCCTGTTGCAGCTGTTCGTCCCGTCCTCCTGCACTCCTCTCCTATTCCTCTTGCTCATCCTCCTGCTCATCCGCCACTCCTCACCCTTCCCCAATTTACGCAGCTCCCTTCCCCGTGGCTCGCTGCGATGGGGTGATCTTTGGAGTTCCAGGCCCGCTATGATACGCGTCGGCGAATAGAGAAGCAACAGCGTAGTAGGAAGGGAAGGCAGGAGGGTAGGATGTCAAGTATGGCGTGGGCGCACCCAGCTGCCTCTGTCTTATTCTCTCTTCCTTCTCCTCCTCCTCCTTCTCCTTCTCCTCCTCGTCATCGTCCTCGACCTCCTCCTCCTCCTCCTCCTCCTCCTCCTCCTCTTCCTCGTCCCTCTTATCCCCGCTCTCTACCCTTCTCCCCTGCCTGCTCCCTTATTTCTCCTCCCCTCTCTCCCCGCTTCCCCAGCGCGTTCCTGCGCCCACCCCTCCTCCTCCCCCGGGAGGCCTCCTGGAAGCCTCCAGCAGGTGCCCAGTGCGCCGCCGAGGGCCCGCCCGGTCCAGACTCGCAGGGGCGCGCCTCCGGCGTTTTTCCGGTGGAGAAACGCATTCGGCCACGCGCAGGAGGGGAAGTCGTCTTCGTCGTCGTCGTCGTCGTCGACGTCGACGTCGTCGTCTTAGTCGTCGTCGCCGTTGACACCACCAAACTCCAGCCAGGATCTGAGGGGCGGCGGCCAGGGCCTCCAGCCCCTCGAGCAGCCAGGCGCGCATCGCCTGGCTCGCGTGGGCGATGCGCGGCCAGGAGGCGGAGGGAGGGAGGGAGGGAGGGATCGGCAACGCGCAGAAGGGGGGGGGTAAGAGGAGGGGGGAAGGCTTTTTAGAAGCACCCCTGCTACTTAGAAGGCACACTACCCCCTTGTGCGCGCCGCCAAAGCATGACGACGACGGTGTTCCGACGTCGATGGCAACGTTGGGGGGCGACAAGCTCATGGGGGGACAGAGGGCGCGGGGGGGAGATCTCAGACTTTCGGGAGTCAAATCGCTGGATGTCGTCGGCTTTCCAGCATCGGGATGCCTTGCCGTGGCTGCTACTCGCCGAGGGCATTCCAGGGGTGCCTGTGGATCGCCCCGATCGGCCGCCAGAGGCCCGAGTTATAGCCATAATACCACCAGGACAGCGTTAATCAGGAGCGAAAGAAGGACGTACATGTACATGAATCCACGCTGGTTTCGAGAGTTCGCATTGCGCGAATGTTCGTGTCACGCGGCTGGTCTCGCGTTTCAAGGGACCGTGTTCATGCACATAGCTGGGCGCGTACGTCCTTTGTGGGCTCCCTAGTTAAGGGGGATAGGCTCAGAAGGGAATGTGTCGATCCCGAGTCGCCCTTCATCGCCGATGGGGGCCTGATAGCCCACCCCGCCCAGGAACGTCCGGATTCGCCATCGGGGGCATGTCGCCGATGAATCGTCGACGTACCGTCGATTCCAGGTCGGTGTGCCCCCGCTGCGCTGGCCCTCCCCTAACGTTGCCCCTCAACGACGGCCTCTTGCAATTATGTCGACGACGAAGGTTTGCCGACTTCGAGGTTCACGACGGCGACGACGACACCGACGACTACGACGGTCTGCCGACCTCGAGGCTCACGACGGCGAAGACGACGCCGACGACGACGAACGAAGCTCGCGATGACGGCGACGGCGACGCCGACGACGAAGTCTTCTTTTCGGGGTCTTGTTGGGGCGTCGGGGCGGCTCCGTGTACACACCACGTCAATTGGTCTGCCAAGGAGCCAAGGGACTCGGCGAACTGTGCTCGATGCAGGGACGCCCCAGCACTTCACACGCCCCAGCACTTCACAGCTTGAGAAGCTTGGGGGTCCGTGCACTTGCCTTATTGGCCGACCAAACGACGTGGTATGTACATCGAGCCATTCCCATGGCGGTTCTGGGAGTTTTCCTCCCCACCGTCTGGGCGCGGATTGGGAAAGCTGGCCAGGGTGAGCCCAGGGGGGGGAGGGCTGCGGGGTCAGATTTTTCTGGTAGACCTTGCCCGGGCGACGCCGGCGTCAGCATGAGGTGGACACGGAGTCCAGGGAATGAAGGCCAGTGTTTTTCGCTCGCCTGGGTTCCCATCGAAAAACATCGATCCAACCATCAATGACATTTCATGACGCTCCGCCTATCCCCACCGCATCGGGCGGCGCTCGTTGCTCGTTGCTCTGTCTTTCCCTTCGCAAGTGGCACAGCCTGCCCCTGCTTGCCCGGCGTCCGACCCGCTTCGCGCGCCCGCGAACCAACAAATATTCCCACCAGTCCACCCCAAAATAATCAGCATGCGAGTTGCTTTGATCAGGGACGTGTAGCAACATGCGGTCACGCTGTGAGAGCCCCATCGACGATATTTTGGGGCCATCGTGGGGCTCTTTTGGGGCCACTTTGTGGGTCTCCGAGGCTCTCTACGGCTTGTGACCCGTTTGGGGGTCTCTTGGGGCCGTTTCGGTTTGAGGGGGAACCCGAAAGCTGGGAAAGGAGGGCCGAGCAACGCCAGTACAGCAGACGATGGCACCATCACCTCCAAGGGGTCCATGGCGCAAGGGACAGGATCCATGGATCAACAGCCAGCACGGTAAGACTGGTTCTTCAGACGACGCAGCGACCGGCGCGGATGGTTCCGCGAATGACGGTTGGTGGCGTCGCTGGGGATGGTGCGGTTGTGCTGGCAATGACTGGTGGTCAGGCAGCTCTGAGTGGAATCAGCGAAGTCGGGATTTCGGGCTTCCCCCCCGCGTCGCACGGTTTCGAGAATTTAGAGAGTTCCCGACCGAGCCTAACGTCATGGAGAAATCGCACAGGATACAGACTAGAGCAGCATGCATCCAAGGTGGTCGAGTCATTGCCCATGGACTTGGAGCAGATGTTTCGCGTCATCCGCAGCACGTTGAATGACGAGAATAGCGTAGACACGGTTCTTGATCATCTAGCGATATTGAAGAGAGAACGACTGGGTGATCGCCAGAGAGAACACCATAACCAGGCATTGTTCGACTACATGATGATGCGCGGAGAAACGCTGACGGACCACGCCCCCCGCCGGGGCGCCCAGGTGGCCGAGGCCGAGATGCGCGGGCTGACGTTTCCAGATCAGGTCTGGGCGCGCTTCCCGGGGGAGAGCGCGGGGCTGCCCGCGCAGAATCGGCTGACTACAGAGGCGCTTGCGATGGGTCGATCCGATTTCGCCAGCATCCGACTCGCCCTCCTGAGCATGGGCGCCACAGAGAAGAAGGTGCTGCCGTCGGCCCCTCCACCACTAGCTCGGACGTGTCATCAGGACGATGGCGACGAACTGGGAACGCATTACGACGAGGATCTGGGAGACGAGGCCGAGGTCCCGGACGAGGAGGTCGAGGCCTTCCCGGAGGCCCTGGAGACCCAGGACCTGGACGAGCATGAAGTGCTGGACGTTCTGGCAGCAGTGGTCGAGGAGCGTTTCGGGCGAGAGCGATGTCGCACCTTGAAGGAGTCCCGGAAGGTGAAGATGGCGAAGAGGGCGGGCCGCGATTTCTTCGATCGTCGACGGGCGAAGCCAGGATTCAAGAGATTAATTGGCTTCGATCTGGAGGAGGTCTCGCTGCGCCAACCGCGGTGAGAAGAGGACATTGGGCGGGCGCGCGCAGGGGGCCGCGCCGCCCCAAAGTCGACCGGCTGACAGCTTCTCGAGACAGGCGGCCGGCGCGGGGGCGGGCGCGTCGTTCTTGTTCGACGGCGAGGACGGCCCCTCCATCTTCAATTGCATGGGCTTGGAGCCGCGCGATGCTGGTCGAGAGATGGAACGTGCTCATCGAGCGCAGCAATGATACCATCGAGCCCCCCGTCATCCCGAGCCCGAAGGACGGCGGGGCGCCCGCTCTGGTGGGCGCCGCGGCGGCCTTGTCTTTGATCGGGGAGCCCGACTGGCCATGGAGGACGTCGGGCACCAGGTGAAGGTGGACTGGGCTGGGCGCCCCCGAAGGGTGTCGCGGCGTCGGGCATTGGCGGCCGCGCGTGTCCGGTCGGCCGAGCATGGGTGCCCGTGGCCATCGCGGGCTGCGGCGTCGCGGAGTTCCCGGTGCTGCTGCGGGCCTGTCCGGCCCTTCTCCCAGCGGGGCTGCTCGGCGCGCTTGGGGCGGCGATCGACCTGCGCGACGACGCGGCGGCGGTCGACGGCGATGGCGATGGAAGAGGGTCGAGCGGAAGTCGACCGCCCGCCCCACGGGCCACAGGTCGCCCCGCTTTGTGCGCCGCGACCCGCGGGGCCACCTCGCCCCCGAGATAGCCGGCGGGTTTCCGCTCTCCGACTTCGCGGTGACTGAGGGCCGCCCCGCCCCCAGCTCTGGCGGGGCATCGCCTGGGGGGCCCAGCGCAGGCAGCAGTCGGAGAGCGCAGGGCGGCAGTCGCAGTGCCGAGCCCATTTGGCAGGCTCCAGCTCGCTCAGCCCCCCCCCCCGGGCCCGGGGGGGGGGGGCCGGCGGACCCGCTGGAGCGAGGCCTCTCTCGGCCCGAGCCTGCAGCCGCCCGCTCGCGAGGATTTCGATCGCACCACCCTTCGGGGGCTCATCTCTGGGCGTCTTCTCGGCGGCGTGCTCCACGGGCCCAGGGGCAAACTGCAGACCCCCAACCTCAACCTCGACCCCTCGCCGCCCATTGCCGCCAGAAAGATGGCCTGAGGACAAGTTAGCTCGACCTTTCAGCCGACCGCGATAGCCGCGTCCTGCCTGCAGGGCGACTTCAATTTCTTCGCCGACGGCGAGACCTGGCAGCCGCGCGTCGTCGCGTATATTACACCGACACATCGCCTGGGAAGGTTTTGTCCAATGTTTTTCCAACGCAGCAGCCCGCGCAGGGCTCGCTCCGGGGCATGCTGCCTCTGGCCCTCTGACCCTCCTCGAAGTCGCGCAACCTATGCCTACGCGCCGCGCGTTAATGGAGGGTGGGGGGAGGGTCCTAGCCGTCGGCCAGCTGGATAGACTTTGCACCAATATGTTTTCGAGTCCGCCCAGGGATTTGAAACCCAACTCCCTGGTGCTTAATTATGTTCTGGACCTCGAGTTCCCGTCCGACCACGCCCTTCTAGTTATGGTGCTTTCTGGGTATCAGAAATCCTCGGGGCCGACGCGCATTCAATCTTGGGTTGCGTCCAGAGTATGCTGAAGGAAGTTGGAGGGTTCAGTCCCCATCCAATTGTTGCTCTTGCCAAGTGTAATGTCCTCCTCAGCAGCAGCTGGTCGTCTGCTTTTTTGCGTCTTGAGCACCGCTAGGCGTCGTCGCCAGCGGAGATGCTCTCGCGGGCCCTGACAGCAACGCGCGCAGTCGAGGCGGCTGGCCTGCATCTTTGGCGCCGCGATGCGCGCAGATCCCAAGTTGCGTGACTTCGTCGATTATGACAATTCGGGGAGCTGGGTTCGGCAGTCGGATTTCCATCGGCATATCGCGCCGCTCGCTCAGGAGGGCATCTGGGGGCAACTCGACGAGCCCGAGCATGCAGACATCCACCCGCAACGCAGAGCTGAATCCAAAACTCGACTCCTCTCGTGCCGGACAGGTCGGGGCAATGCTAGGCGCGTTTTTTTTTTTTTTTTCTTCCGCCGGGGTTGGTTGATCCCAGTGGCTGTCGCACCTCAGATCCCGATTCGGCGGCGAAGGAGCTTGCCGATCATCGGGGCCCCGTGCGCAACGGAGGTTTTCCCTGCGAGCGCGCGCGCGCCAGATGTCAGAGCCCCCAATCATCAGGGGTAGCTCGGGTCAGGGATAACTCGGGTTCGTTTCTCGGGAATCCAAACCCGAGTTACCCCGGGCCCGAGTTGCCCCGGATAACTCGGGCATCCAGAGCCCCGAATCATCAGGGGGTGACTCGGGTCAGGGCTAACTCGGGTTCCTTTTTCGGGAATCCAAACCCGAGTTACCCCGGGCCCGAGTTGCCCCGGATGACTCGGGCGCCCAAATATGAGCGCGCCGCATATCCAGAAGTGCCCTGATCGCATCCGTTGGGCGTTTGATTGCGACGCCGTTGCCGGTCTTATGCGGCGCTGTAGAGACAGCGCCCCAGGGCCCGACGGGGCCCCGCGCTCCGCCTGGGCTCGCGCGGGGGGCGAAGTCCCAGAAGTACTCTGCGCCATCTATGAAGGGGCCCATCGAGGGCCAGGTTCCAGGCGTAATTTTGCGACGTGCGGCTTCCCGACAAAGGCTCCTCTGCGGCTGACAGCTCCTCCGAAGGCGTCCTCAGCGAGCCGAATGCGACCCGACCGGCTTCGATATCTAACGCCGATAACAAGATTGCCAGCCTTTGGATCAACGACCCGCTTGCCCGTCCACGCGAGACGTCGGCTGCGGAGGTTCAGCGAGGTCTCCTCCGCGGCCGCTCGATGGCAAGCGACGTCTTCGAGATCGGGGGCCGCGTGCTCTTCTGACATTGTCAGCCGGGGGCCCAGCGCGCACGCTTCTGTTGCTTCGACGTTGGCGCCGCCATACCGAGTTTGCTCCGCGATGTTATCTGGTTTGCCCTGGCGGCCATGACCCTGCCTGCCAGCGTCATCTCTGCCATAGCTTCTGCGTAGTACGGTCTGGGTCTCCATCGATTTCTCGGGCCCTGGGGGTCGCGGATTCTGATTGCTCCGAAGGGCAAGACAAGGGCCCCCCAGGTCGGGTGGCGTCTTCGCTTTGGCCGTCGACCCGATCATCCGACATTTTCTCAGTTTACGCCGACGGCGCGGGTCTGGGCGCGTCCAACGCGTGCGAAATTTTGCGTGCTATTCCGCCAGCGTGGCTCCTCGCTGGCTAGGCTGCTGGTCTCGTTTTGAGCATCGAGAAGATGGCTGTTTGTTCCCATCCAGCTCCTGGCCCAGACGTGTTCCTTCGCGAGTTTCGGAATGTTGGTGCCAAAACCGATCGGTTCAAATTGGTTTAGTTCATCAAGTACTTTAGGATCACCCTGGGCCCCGGTGGGCAAGGTGTTGCATGGGGCGAGGTGGGCCGAAAGTGTCTCGGACGCGTCCAAGTTCTGAAACTGTTGAACCTCGGCCTGTTTCGTGCGATTGCACGGTGCAACACTTTCTGGTTCAGCGTTTTGAGCCACGCGCAGCTTTATTCCCCGACTCCTGAGGCTCGTCGGATGGGGCGCGAAGCCGTGCGGGCCCTGGCGGTTGCCCCTGGGAATGCGTTTTCACGCGACCTCTTGAAGGCCCTCGGGGAAATCGGCCCCTCCGCCCGGGCGAGACAGTTGGCAAGTGCGAGTCGGGTTGCCCAGCGCAGGTGCGGATTGCACAGTGAGTCCTTCCACGAGTCGCGCACCTGCCTCGACGAAGTTGGGGCCATCGACGACGCCCAGAGTGTTCGCCCTTTCTTTTCCGTGGTGGCGGGGGTCCTGTTTCATCCAGATGCGTCGAATTCATCGAGCCCTGAATGCCCTCCCCCTACCCCTACATGATAAGCCTGCATTCGAATGCCGCATTGATGTTTTCCTGGAGCCCCATAGTAAAATTTCGGTCCGCTCCGAAATTTAGGTATTTTCATCCTGCTGTCTCCGAGCCCCGAGCGGATTTAGTTCGTGCGTTGTTCGGGCGCTTATGCTCCCTGGCCCCGAGTTTCCTCTCCCTGTCGGCCCGAAACGGGATCGCAAATTGTTGGCGCGCGTCTAGGATGTTTCGGGGACCCACGAAGAGGTGCCGTTGGTGTCAAGTCGCCTTCGCAGGAAATGACATTCTTCATTGCTTTCTTGTCCGTGTCTCCACTCGTTTTTGGCTCGCTTTCCCCTCTTGCCCCCCTCGTTCGCCTCTGCCTCGGTTGTCGGTCGTTTCTGGCTCTTCGGTCTCGGTCCTTTCTCTAATGCTCAGTTGATCCCGATTGCCCATCTGCATGATACCATGTGTTTTGCGTACCATACGGGCAAAGCTATCGACGGGATTTGCCCAGAGTCTTTCGTACGTTTGGCCCAGGCGCGTCTCAGGCAAACGACCGGGCGGTTTCCAGCCATCGCGCAGGCGTTCCGAGGGTGACGAACTCGTTATCATGGCCGCGTCGCTCCTCCTCCTTCTCCTCACGAGCCTCAAGGAGACGAACGCTGGGGTTGCTAATTCAGGGGTTCGTGCCGCTTGTCCTGGCCTTCGGCGGCGACCCTTCTGGGGGCTGAGCCTGGCCTTGGCCCGAGTGGCAAGCAAGGGAGGCGTTTGTTTTTTTCATGGCCAGTACTGTGCGTTTCAATTTTTCTTATGGACGCATGCCTCTCCGTGAGCTTGAGGTTTTGGAGTGTGTTTATTTGATGGGTTATGATGTGCGGGTTTGTGGTTTTGGTGCCGGGTGCGTTTCCTGTATCGCATCGTTAATATGCAACCGTTGGCTGATGGCACGCTTCGCCCTTATCTTGAATTGGACTGTTCGCTGGCATGTTCCTGCTCCCTACAGTGGGCATCTTCATATTTCCCGCGGATATGGCGATGATTATCGTTGTGCCAGAGACCGCCCGACCAGAGGTGAGAGGCATTTGATGTTGAAATAGTTCCCCCATTCCGCCTCCGCTCCTCCTCATTTTTCTTGTCGTATTCTTTTTCCTCCTTCTCCCCCTCCTTCTCCCCATTTTCCCCTGCTCTTGTTCTTCCCTGTTCCCGTTCGTCCTTCTCCCTTCCCCACTCCCCTCCTCTCTCGCTCGTCATCCTCCCCCGTTCGTTCCCTTGCTTCGTTTCCTTCCCTCCCGTCCTCTCTCATCCTCCCCGTCACCCTTCCCTTTTCCCCTTTTTCTCTCGCCCCCCCCTCCTCTTCCATCCTCCTCCTCTCTCCTCATATTTCCTGTCGCCCCTTCGTTCCAGCGAGAAGTTCCGGAATTGGCAGAAGCAGGACAAGCAGTGGCTCATGCGAAGGGCCTCGAGGACGGGGGACCCGGAGTTGCTGGCCAAGGCGCCCTCGGATTGAAGATCGGGGGGAGGAGAGGATGGGGGGGGGCAGGGACAGGAGGTGGAAGGGGGTGAGGGGTGGACGGAGGGGAGGGGGGCAGGAGGAGAGGGGAGTGATGGGTGGAGGGGGGTGAGGGGTGGACTGAGGGGAGCGGGGCAGGAGGAGAGGGGGGTGATGGGTGGAGGGGGACGGGAGGAATGAGGGGGAGTTGGAGGCGTCAAGTTAGCCAGGTCGGCGAGTCAGAGAACCCCGCCTATTCCAATCCTCCTTCATACAACATACGAATCAATTGTGGCACAACTTGATACTGGGATTGGCACGCGTTCCCACCTAGCAAACGGAAAGCACTCGCGCGCGGCCCCGTTTCTGACTGCTTGGCGAAGGGAAAACTACGCGGGCCGCGCCGGGGCGGGAGTTGCAAAACTTCCGATGGTCGCGGCGAAGACGAAAGATGCGTCGCGGCGCTCGGGCGAGGTCGGCATTTCGCCCGCTTTCGCGCGGCCGCGCTGCCGCTGTCGCTACCATGCGATTCTGCGATCCGCGGACCCCCGCAAATTGGCGACAAACACTTGTGCGCCGCGCCGAGGCGGGAGCGCCACTTACAGGCAACATCTGCGCGGCGCCGAGGCGAGACCGACACTTTCGTCCGCTCGCGAATCGACGAATGCGTGCGGAAAATGTGCGCCGCACCGAATCTGATCCCAGTTTTGTTGAAAACGGAGCGCGACGCCGAGGCGAGAAAGAAATATCGGCCTTTCACGCGGAACGCGCGCACCGTCTCGTTCCCACCACGCATTTTGCAACATGGGCGACATAATATATTGCCCATGTTGACAGCGAAGCTGTTGATTCCGTTTTGCTTGTGAAAATCAGGATGGGAAGTTCCAGATTTGGCGGCGTTCGGCCGTGGGGATTACCGCCATCGCAGGTGCGATACAGTTCAACATTTCCGGAATAGCAAAGCGTTCACCGTTAGAGCAAAAACTCAGGCGGTCTCCTCCCCTGTTGCTCCCGAGCATGGCGTTCACCCCAGAGCAGAAGCTACGGCGGGTTCCTCTCCCCATGCTCTCAAACATGAGCGGCACGCACTTCAGCACGCCGCGCGTTCTGACAATTCCGAGGCGGCGGGTACCTGGGGGCAGCATTGAGGCTCTGGACCTGCACTCTGATGCCGCCCAGGGCCCTCAGATAACGACGCGCACCTTGGCGCGCCGCCCCAATAAGCCTCCGTGGGGCGCCACTCCCACGGAAACCGACCTACCCCCACGCACGCTTGTGCGGGGGACCCAGCCCGTGGGAAGGATGGGTAGGGGCAAAATAGGCGACGAGATGCAAGAGTCTCTCCCCCGCCCGTCCGCGCCGAACATCGTGGTTGCCCACGACCCTCGGACAGGCACGGGCGAGGTGACGATCGGGCTGCTAGTCGCCTGCTTACCCGGGAAGGGGACCCAGTGGCACAGGTGCTTGGGGGAGGAGGAGGCAGAGGAGGAGGAGGAGGAGGAAGGAGGGAGGAGGAGGGAGGAGGAGGGAGGGAGGAGGGAGGGAGGAGGGAGGGAGGAGGAGGAGGAGGAGCAGGAGGAGGAGGAGGAGGAAAAGGGCGAATCTGTCGAACTGCAGCAAGCCCTCGCCCAACAACGGGATGGGATGGAGGAGGGCTGATGCGCCATGCTCGGCACTTCTGACTTGCGACTTCCGGCGGCTGGCAGGCTAAGTTGTACGACAAACGCATGCGCGTGACACAGGAGCTCCCCCCCCGCGCGCTCTTGACTCAGGAGGGGTGGGCAGGACCCAGGCATCAAGCTTGTTTTTACAATGTGCCTCCTCGGAGGTCTGGTCCTCTTCCCGGGGACAAGTTGTTAGTTTTAAGTAGTGTCTGAGTGACCCGTGGCCCAGGAAGGGTTCCATCAGGCTGATTCTTCCCAGAACACATTCACTCGAGAGTTTTCATGGCGCGAGAATGTCATGCCAGGGGAGGAATAGCCCGTGACTCTGACGTCTTGAACAAACATCACGACGACCACTTTGTCCACGAGGTCAGAGTCTGGAAGCCCGCTTCGTGCCTCTTCGGGATCGTCGAATGGACCGAATGGAAGACTTGAGGCGGAAAAAGCGGCCCCTGGGGGGTGGCCGACAGGTTCAGGGAGCATGTTATTTGTTATTCGCTACGTAGATTGTCTGGGGAGGAGGATAGTCAGGAATATCGAAGATTGACGCTTTGGGGCGTTTTTGTCCTTGCTGGGGCTCTGAATGACTCTGTGAAGGCCTCCAGGTACCCCTGGAGGCCTCTGGAGACCTCCAGGGGAGGACGAGGATGAATGACTAAACGAGTTTTCCATGGGGCTGTTCCACGTGGGTTCTGGGCTCCGTAATCCTTCTGATCCTCACATCCTGTCGGAGCCCTCCTGCCTCCGACGTCGTGGTTTTTGTCCGCAGCATGCACCCCAGAGCTCACGAGCCAGGTGCCGAGCCCACGTCCCGAGCCCACTCCCAAGCCTCGGGGCCTCCCAAATGGTGCCAGATTGGAGCTGTCGCAGGATCACGCCGCATTAGCGATGCATCGTCGAGGCGGCGCGATGCGGAGTCCAGCTTTCTCCGTCCCGACGTCGCCGGTGCATCGGCGATGCATCCGAGATGCGGATGTTGTGCGACCCGCCGACATCATCCACTCCCGCCCCCCTTGGGAGGCCTCCATGTCTGTTTCTTCTTGGACGGAAGGTACTTTTTTCATCGGCGCCGCGACCGTGGCCGTTTTCGGTGGCGCAGTCGATGTCGCCGTGGTGGTTGCCGTCGCCGTCGCCGCCGCCGCCGTCCTCATGGTAGTCCTCGTCGTCGTCGTGGTCGCCCTCGCAATCGCCGTCGTCGTCGCCGTCGTCGTCGAAGGAGGAGGATGATCCATCCTCGCGTCGTGAAGAAGTCGCCACGGAGGTTGTTTACCATTTTTGTTTGGTGAACTCTCACTTCTGAAGGCTGATTCTTGCTGATCCCCCGCCCGGTGCTCATTATGTTTTTTCACTTGGAGTGCTCCCCCAGGGCTCCCACCTCGTTTTCTGTCAGTTCAGTTCAGTTCAAAAGCCTTGCGTCCGGACGGCGCACGAGCAGTGTGAGACCGTGAGCAGCCAAACTGCTCATGAGAGGGGCGTGCTGTATTGGCATCGGCCGCTCGTGTTAAACACACGGAGGAAGGAGGAGGAGGAGAAGGACGAGGAGGAGGAGGAGGAGGACGAGGAGGAGGAGGAGGAGGAGGAGAAAGGAGAGATGAGAGCCACAGCTACGCACTCAGATGCCATGCGCGAACTTGCTGTTTCCACGCGCGCGCTGCTCTGCCATCCGGGCGGAAGAAAGCAGCAACGCGCTCGCGTGAGCCCGCAGCAGACACAATTCTTCATGACCATGTGGCTCCAAGTTTGTCTCGGCCTGCCACGCTGCCGCGGCCCGTTCGGTCGCTTCGATTCGATGCCACCAGGGCAGAGTATCGAGCAGCGCATTGGGTCAGAGTCTGCCCGCCTGGCGAGATGTCCCATGAATTTCATCTGTCGCCTGCAGATGCCGTTTTCTGTCAGTGCAAGAATTGAGGCTCAAATTGTGTTGCTGGCCTCCTGCTTTCAACAGCAGCAGCAACGGCTCCCGCTTGGTACATGCTATTTCTTCGCTTTCTATTCAAAAACGCACTTTCGCTCGGATCCCTCCCCACGATTTATCCGTAAGGGCGTTGCCCCTTGCCGCCGGCCCCCTTTCTCGGTGCGTCTCGGCGCTGCCTTGACGCATCTGGGAACATCATGCGGGGGCGGATAGGAATCAGCAGCGTATATCGAGACGTTGGCGTTATCCTAGTGGCCTTCGGCCCATCCCAGCACCGTGCCTGGGTTGTGGGTCTGAGGCCTTTTTTAGATGTGTTGGGGTGTCGTGGGGAGCCTCTCGGGGGCCTCTTGGAAGCGGTTTGGGCGCCTCTTGGGGGCCTCGTGGGGCCTCGTGGGGTATTTGTTGGGCCTCTCGGAGGCCTCTCGGACGCGTCTCGGGCGCCTCTTGGGGCCACTTGGCGGCCATTCTTGGGTCCTCCTGGGGGCTTCTCGGGGCACAGCTATCGAGTCTTGGGGCCCTCTTGGGCCGTCTTGAGCGCTTCTTGGGCCATCTTGGAGCCCTCTTGGACCGTCTTGAGGACCTCTTGGACGCGTCTTGGGTTGTCTTGGGATGGTATTGGGAGCTTCTTGAGCCGTTATGGAGCGTCGGAAAGCCGAACCTTCAAACATTTGTTTTGTGTGTGCGTGTGTAAATTCTACAATGTTGGCCGCTTGGGGCTCTGTCGGGAGTCCTCTTGGAGCGTTCTTGGGGCCTCTTTGGACTCTTTTGGGCTGTCTTGGAAACCATCTTCGGGCGCCTTGGGGCACTCTTGGCCTCGGCAATGCGAATACAGCGTAATTTGCAAAGGTTTATGGCTTTGGGGACGCGAGCATTGGAGCATTGCGTAATTTGCAAAAAGCGTAGCTGCCTCGGAGACGCAACAATTGTGTAGTTTACAATAATTTGTGGCCTCGGGGACGCAACAAGTGTGTAATTGACTAGGGTTTGTGGCTTCGGGGATGCGAGCACTTTATAATTCACTAGGGGTTATGGTCTCGAGGGCGCGAATCTCATACATTTTTATGTGTCCTTCGCCCCCCAGTGAATTCAGAGAACGCGATCTGGGCGTGGTAACCGAGAGGTTTGGGGTTCCCCTCCCCTCGCGCAGGCTTCGACAATTTACAATAGGAAGCAAAAAGCAGAAAGGTAACATTGGAAACTTGAAGTTGCAACTGGTGCAGGGAGCGGTAGCTTCGTCCTACAGCTTGGAGTGGCCCCGCAAGGGGGCCGGCGGATCCAGGAGTCGCGCTCTCGTTCGGAACATTCTGCGGCGTAAATATATTCAGTCGCCGCGGTCCCGACACGCGAGGCTCGCGCTCTCGCTCCGCTCTCTCGCCCGAGGCTCTTTCGCAACTCCAGAGGTTCGCTTCGGTGCCCCGCCCGCCCGACCCGCCAGTTAGGGTCCGCCCGCCCGGCCCGCTTCTCAAGATTCCTGTTCCCTTCCCCCCCCTCCTTCCTGCTACATGTGCTTCGCCCTCAATCCTCGTCGCTCCCTCTTGCCTCCTCCCGCTTTTCTCGTATCCCTGTTTCCAAACCCTCCTGTGTTTGGTTCTCGTTTTGACTACAGCGCTGTGGTCACGTCTCCTCACCTCCTCCCCCCCTCCTCCTCTCTCCTGACTCCTATATCCTCTCTCCTGCCCTCTGCATTGTCCGAACCCTCCTGTTCTTGGTTCTCGTTTTGGATACAGCGCTCTGGTCGCGTCTCTCCTCTTTCCAACCTCCTCCTCCTCCCTCTACTGACTCCTATCTCCTCTCTCCTTCCCTGTCTGCCTCTCTCGTGGGCTCCTGGGAGGAGTGACCTCGCGGCTTCCTGGGGAGGCTGCGAAGTGCGAGATTGTCGCCATGTTCGTGGGCCGGGCTCCTCGGAGGTCCAGCGGAGTGGAGTTGTACGGGGATCCAGTTGAGACCTCGCGGCTCCCTGGGGGGCTGCGAAGTGTGAGATTGTCGCCATTTTCGTGGGCTCCTGGAATGTCCAGCGGAGTGGAGTTGTACGGGGATCCAGTTGAGACCTCGCGGTCGTGGTCGTTGTGAAGGTAATGTCGTCGTCGTCGTCGTCGTCGTCGTCGTCGTCGTCTTGTCGCGTCGTCGTCGTCGTTGTTGTCGTGGTCGTCGTCGTCATCGTCTTGTCGCGTCGTCGTCGTCGTTGTCATTGTCGTTGTCGTCGAAAGAGGGGGACTGGAAGAGGGGAGGAGGCAGGGAAGTTGGATGGGGGGCAGGAGGAGGAGGGGGAGTCGGGAGGGACATGGGGACGGGGGGGGCAGAGGAGGGGCATGGTGGGATGATGATGAGCAGCAGCAGCTCATTCCCTCCCCCCGCCCCCCCCCCCACAATCGCCCTCGTCGGCATGCTGCCCTTGCTCCTGCCGTCGCACTCGGAGCTGCCGCCGTTGCCGCCGAGCCAGGACGAGATCCAGGACGCCCTGAACCGCGTGGCGCTGAAGGAGCACGAGGAGGCGAGATCGACGCACGCCCGGTCCATGTCCGAGAAGGCCACGCGCGGGGCGGGGCGACGGACGGGAGTCAGAGTCAGAGACCCCTTCTCCTCATCCCCCTTCACCTCCACAGGTATTCGATGTGAATACTAATCTGCCGTCTTCCCCGACTACGTGTTGAAAGTGTTTCGCCCTCTCCGCGCAGTTGACCGTAGAATGTCGAAGTCTGTCTTTCCCCACGCAGTGCTTGCACTTCGGTTGGTTCTCGGGTTTTGACCACGTTGGCGCCCGTGCTCCCTCGTGGCTGCCTCGTGGACGCCCCGTGCGCTGGCTGGTCTTCCGGATGTTTCGCAGCGTTGGCGCCCGTGCCCGCTCATGAGCGCTTCGTGGGCGTCGCATAGCTTGCACCGCATAGCTCAGACCACACGGTTGACCCTGTACAGCTTCCACCACATACCTTGCACCGCATAGCTTTCACTATACCGCTCGCACCACATACCTACACAATCCGTCTCACACGACAGAGCTGACACCGCATAGCGTCCACAACATAGCTTACACCACATAGCCCACAGCGCGCGTATGACGTTACGTAGCTCACACCCTATGATTTTCATGGCATAGCTGACACGGCATAGCTCACGCCTCAGTTTGCAAGGGTAACACTTCATGGTCTACACCACATAGCTCAAATCGCGGAACTCACACCACACAGCTTACAACTCATCATTTACACTACATATATTGCACCGTATAATTTGCACCGCATATCTCATACCGCATCGCTCGCACAACATAGCTCATGCATCATAGATTGCGCCACATCTACTCCGCAATATGTATACAGACACACATATATATATATATATATGACAACCCATCGTCCACACCGTATAACTACGCCGCATATCTGTCACCACCCCATCGTGGCCAACACTCTTTGTAGTTCGCGCCAGCTAGCTTTTTGCATGGTTTGTTCAATCGGAGCGTTTACAGTGTTTCCAAATGGTGCTCCCGCTGCAGTGCAGCCGTCTTTCAGGAACGTCGCTGTTCTCCCAATGGCGCTTTCGCCCCAGCGCGGGCTATTTTTCAAGAGCCGAGTCATTCCTCATCGTTACCGCCTTGCTCCTCTCCCCTCCACAGCCATCCCCTGTCCTCATGCTCCTCCCGCTCCTCCCACTCCTGCGCCTGCTGCCGCTGTTCCTCCCCGTTTTCTTCCTCCCTCATCCTTCTCCTCCTGCTCATCCTGCTTTATTCCGCTGATCAAATCTGCGGCTTTCGACGCTGTTGAGTGTGAGACTGGAAGCAAGTACGGGAACGGTTCCAGGCTTTGCTTTGATGTTGTGTGCACCTCCTTAAACTCGATTGCAACCCCAAGCAGCGGTGCGATCAGGACGTTGGTCCGTCAAGGAGTTTGGCCCCTTAGCCGTGCGAAGGCCTTCAGGTATGATATCGAGGACCGTTGCTCTCAGTGTGGTGCCCTAGGCGACACCATCATTCACCGCCTCTGGTTTTGTCCTGCCTGTGGTTCAGTTCGATCTGAGCATGTCAAGCCTCAGCATTTGAATCGTGTGCGCCAGGAGCTCGCAGCTGATAGTACTCCTGGTTTCAAGGTCCTCTGCGACACGGGCCTTTTAGCCCACCCGTCCTCTGAGACCCCTCTTCCCCACTCTGCCCAGGAGTCGCATCGGTTGTGGTTGCGGCGTGTCCGGATGCTTTCGAGGCAGAAGGCTTTCCTTATCTTTCCGGGGTTCGCAGGGATTTCGGGGAAGAATTGTTTTGGATGACCTTGATTTCAAACACCTTGCGAGCGAGCTTTCTACATCTGGATGGTATGCAGTCTATCTGACTCAGCTCGGTCAGACGTTGGCTCGCATGTATGGGACCGTGTGTAACGCTTACCCGCAGACGAGTGTGGTTGCCGAGTACGCTGCGTTGGCCGCCACACCATGCGTTTTAGAAGGCTCGTCCGAGTTTCCGTCATACTGCAAGGTGGCGGTAGACCACTTCGCTCTGCCTCTCTCACAGCAGTTCTCCCTTAGCAGGGCCTGCAGCGGCCTTGTCATGCAGTGCCTCTCTAATGCGAGTGGTCGTCTCGAGGGAGTCTCCAAAGGTGAAGGCTCATTTTGAGGAAGATCCCAGGCTGGACTGGGAAGCGCGGGTCAGAATTCGCGGCAACAATGCCGCGGACGAGGCCGCGAAGGTTGGAGCGAACCTTCGTGCGCCTCTCTTTGTTTTTGTTGGAAGACCTCTCCTTCTTGGTCTCCGTCTCCAAGGCCATCGCCGACCTGGCCGCCCATCTTCCGGATTTCTTTCCCAGGACCAAACTGGACGGGGTCTTGGGAGCGTCCTGCGCCTTCTGGGCCTCCTCGAGATCATGTCCCTGGGCACAAGTCCTGGCAGTGTAGCGAGTTCCTCAAAAGCTCTCGTCCTCTTTTGAAGCTTCCACCAAGGAAATGTGCTTGCAAGCTCAAGGTCTCGCCGCAAAGGCTTCGTAACCTTGGGTGCACATGCATCGTTGCTGACTGCAGCGATTGCAGTTTCGTTTGCTTCTGCCAGCTGTACTTTTTTCCTACACCTCTTGTGGGCAGCTGCGGGGCTTGGGGGACCCCAGTCAGGCGCAACCCTCTTCACGTGCTGGTGTTCAGGTTGATGGAGGCCCGCCGACAAGAGCGAGTTCTCCCAGCGAGTTCTCCCACAGTGCCTGCAGAAGCGAACTTCGGTTCAAACCCAGCAGAGGACCCCAGCCTAAGTGGAATGGGGTCACCCGTCGATTTGGACGGCACCGGAGTATTCTAATTCCCGATCCTTCTATATGCCCGCCTAACGGGTCTTTGGCAGTGGATGCCAGACAATAAAGCTTCCTCTTCCTCCTCCACCTCAAATGTACACAGCTCCCCTTTCCTGATTGGCCATACCACGATGGTGTCATTCTAGGATTTCCAGGTCCGCTATGACACCCGTCCTCGAAGAAAGATACAGCGCAATGGGAAAGGAAGGGATGGGTGTGAGGGTCAGGATGCCATACTTGGCGTCAGGGCACCTGCTTTACCTCTCCCGCTCTCCTTTCCCCGCTCTCCTTTCTCCTTGTCCTCGTCTTTCCTGCTCTTTCTCTTCTCCTTCCCCTTCTCATTTCTCTTCTGCTTCCGGTTTTTGTTCCAAGACCGTGGCCCCTGAGTTCTGGACCCCGAACTGTGGGCCGCTTCCCCCGCCTCTGGCTCGCTCTCTGAATGGACCCCGTGGCCCGAAGGCGGCCCCTTTGCAGGCCCAAGTAGAGGAGACACGTCGGGATGTACCAAACGTCAATCCGCTGGAGTTCCAGGACCCCTGCTCCCCCCAAATGTCGGGGCTCGCATAACGGGGGCCAGCGCGAACGTGGGTTAGCCAATCCCCTCCCAGACACTTTGGCTGACACAGGCTTGGGAGCCACCTGGGGCCGATTCCCCTTTTCTGCCCTCCGCTGACCCGGGCCTTGGAACTACAAAGCGGCCGGCCCAGCTTCGCGACAGGGCCCGGGTCGTTCCGGGTTTGTGTTGACCTGGATTATTGCGTCCCCGACCAAAGTCGGTCCCCAGTCCGCTTCCCGGGCGCCATCCTGACCAGTCTATGTCTAGATGCGCCCCAGCTGATATCAGAACATCTTGTGGACTGATGGATGTACCCATACGATTAGGAGGTATCCGGGTAAACGGGCGCTTAGCGAAGAAACTGGGGAGGACGATAAGGGCAAGAAGAAGGGGATAAGTGAGAGATAGGAGCGATGATATAGTACATCGCAGGGAGGAGAGGATAGGATGGAGGAGGATGGGGGGGGGAACAGAAAGAGGAGAAGGATGAGGCCGGGGCCCCTCCTCCTTATATATATATATATATATATAAATACTTCTCTAACTCATCCTACCGGCAGTTTCCCCCCTCCCTTTCCTCCTCTCCCTCTCCCCTCCCCCCTCCTCATCTCGCCCCCCTCTTCCCCCTCCCTTCCTCCAGGTGGCCCTTCCTGCCCCCTCCCCAGCCCCCCAGTCCCCAGTCCTCTTCCTTTCCTCCTTCCCTCCCCTCTTCATCCTCCTCCTCCTCCTCTTCCTCCTCCTCCTCCTCCTCCTCCTCCTAATCCATCCTCCCTCTTCCCTCCCTGCCCACTCCTCCTTCCTGCCCCCCGGGCGCTCCTCCCCGGACGGCGTCCGGCGCCCGCCTGGCCAGGTGGCGGCGCTGAAGGGCATCGCCCTGCCGACCGCGGAGGAGGCGAGGGCCGCGCCGCGTCATCGTCGTCGTCGTCGGTCTCGGCCTCGTCCTCCGCCGTCGTCTCCGTCCTCGTCATCGTCGTCGCCCTTGCCCTCGCCTTCGATGTTGCCATCGCTGTCGTCAGTGAAGGAGGAGGAAGGAGGAGGAGGAGGATAAGGAGGAGGATGAGGAAGTGGGGGGCGGGACGAGTGTAGTGGAGGAGCGGGTGGTTGAGGAATGGTGGTGCCATCACCCCCATTGGGAGGTTTCGGACGAGGACATCCAGAGGGAGGAAACGAGGGAAACCAGGAGGAGTATTATCATGAGGAGGAGGAAGAGGAGGAGGAGAAGGATGGGACGCTCTTGAGGGAGGATGAAAGCCGGGCCTGGACCGCACGAGCACTCCTGACACCAAACCAGGACCCACAAGCAAGAGGATCCGACGGAAAGGAGGAGCCGCACCTCTCTTCGGCGGCAGCCCCTTTGGCCAGTCGGGGCAGCACGCTGTGCTCCTACCTTGGGGGGCCAGGAAACGGGACACACTTCACCGAGGCACTTGGCCTTCCGACGCTGCACCGCCCACGGGTTCGGCAGGAAACGATGCCCCTGAACACAGGCAGCGCGTGGGGCGAGCAGCTCCTCGTAGCCGAAGGATGCGCGGTTACAGCCTCGCTGCCGACGTGCGGACTGATATCGGGGCCTCCCAGACATTTCCCAGGGCAGGAATTGTAGACCCGGCGCCGGGTAGCTCGGAAAAAACAGCTGCAGGCACCATACAGACAAGCGTACCCGTACTTTGCGCCCGCCGAGGGGACCGTAGCGAGGAGGCGTGCGAGTCTCCAGCACCTGATAGCATAGAATCGGTAAGGCATGATAGTGGCATGTTGTAGCATAGCATGTTGGTATGCAGTTTCAGAAGTGAGAGAAGCCAGAGCCACTTTGGTTCAGCGCCTTGCCGGTCCACGGAAAAAGGAGACCCTCCCTCAGGATGTCGGGGTCCACTCGCGGTGCCGGACCCGTTGTGCGCTCCACGGCGCCGGGGGCTTTCGGCGCGCGAAAATCGATTTTGGTGGAGCCCCCCCCTCCGTCGAAGGGTGATCTCTGAACGTCGCTTCTTGCGGTCTGAGACCCCCCCCCTTCCGCGGGGGGTGCTGCGAGCGCGCGAGTATTGATTCTCGCGCGCTGGCCCCCCTCCCCCGCCCCCGCAGACCCCCGGAGGACCTTGGCGCGCGAAATTCAATTTGAGGCGAAGGACCCCCTCCGCGATGGGGGACCTTGCAAGATCGGCTTTCGCGCGGCAAGACCGCCCCCCGCGGGCGAGGGGGTCTTGCCCGGCGAAAATAGATGTTGGAAGTGCCGAGCCCCCCCCCCCCCAGGTGCCCTTGCCCAGCGAGAGTCGATTGCGGGGGTGCCGAGGGCACCCGGGGGGGCCCGGCACTTCCAAAAATTATTTTCGCCGGGCGAGACCCCGCCCTGCGAGGAGGTGGCATTGCCCATTTCAAGATCGATTTTGCAGGTGGCAAGACCGCCATCTTCGCTGGGCAAGACCCCCCCCCCTTGCACCAGGGGGGGGGGCCTGCCTGGCCCGGCGAAAAGGGGTGCTTACCACATCCATAATCGATTTTTTCCGGGCAAGACGGGGGGGATCTTATCCAGCGTAAATCGATGAGGTGCCGAGCCCCCCCCTAGATGCCCTCAGCACCTCCAACATCGATTTTCGCTGGGCGAGGGCTCCCGGGTGGGGGGCTGAGCGCCTTCAACGTCGATTTTCGTTGTGCAAGACCTCCTCCCGCGGGGAGAGGGGTTCTTCGCGCGCGAACATCGACGTTGCGAGGTCCTCCTCGGCGGGGGGGGGCTTTGCCTTCAGTCGATGTTCGCGCTCCGCGGGCCTCCCCTGGAGGCCCCAGAGGGAGTAGTGGCAGGAGAGAATCGATGTTCGTTGCCCTCACGTCATCAAGTCCATCGCGCCCCGTGGCCCCCCCCGCGCCCCCCCCCGTCAGTTGCGCGGGCGTTCTGCATCGCCCCTGCGCGTTCTCGCCCGCGGCTGCCTGGGCAGCCGCCGCCGAGATGCTTCCAGGAGACCGGCCGCGCTCAAGGGGCGGCGCGGGCAAGGGAACGGGCAGCGGCGATGGCGCCGACGGCCTGGGCCCGGGCGAGGGTAGCAACGACGGCGCCGACGGCCAGGGCGCGGGCAAGGGCAACGTCGGCAGCGCCGACGGCCAGGGCACGGCAACGGGCAACAGCGACAGCTCCGGCGGCCATGGCACGGGCAAGGGCATCATCGACAGCGCCGACGGCCAGGGCGCGGGCAAGGGCAACGTCGACAGCGCCGATTATGACGTGGGCAAGGGCAGCAACGACAGCGCCGACGGCAGGGCCGCGGGCAACGGCAACAACGGCGGCGTCGACGACGCGCTGCAACAGCTGCTGGAGCACGGCCTCATCGAAGTGAGAGGCCTCGGCGGCAACGACACCTTCAACGGCAAGGGCGTCGGCGGCAAGGGCGGGTCTCTGGGCGAGGGCGTCGTCGGCGAGGGCGGCGACCTGGGCAAAGGCGTCGGCGCCGCGGGCGGCGACGTTGGACGGGGCAGGCTGAGCAGGCCCCCGTCATTCATGCACACTCCGCAGCTCCTGAGTGGTCAGCGCGCCTGCCACTCCACCCGATGCCTTTCGTCGGCCCTCAGAGGATCCAGAGGTCATTGCTGCCGATTGCGACAGCCAGATGCCCGACGGTGCCCCTTTGGCGTGCGACGTGCAAGGTGTTGCTGGTTTGTAGATGACAGGGGTCAGCAGACCACCGCCCCCGCGCTGCCCGCGCCTTTGCGCCGCGCCTGTTTGCGTCGGCGGCGAGGCGAGGGGCTGCGATGGCGAGGGGCGGCCCGCCGGCAGTGCCACGCGCGAGCGGCCGCAATCATGCGTCGGGAATGCCATCGCGTAAAATGTCACGATACTAAGCGCACATCGCATACATATGTCACATGCATTAGCACTCACGCAACAAGCATTGAAAGAAGCACGCGCCCTATTGCCATTCAACATAACATCGCTGCTATCATGCGGCCACCACCAGAAGAGCCATTGTCGAGACGCCCAACATAAGTGTTCTCACACGCCCCGTCGAGGGCAGAAGGCGAGGGGCGAGGGCCGCCGGAACAGGAAGGGATGGAGCACAGTGAGGATCGCGACGAGGGGCGACGATCACCACGACGATTACAACGAGAGATAGAGAGAGACGACTCTGACGTTTGGGTAGCTCCACATCGTCGCATCTGACATTTTCCGCTCTCTGTCATCATCCTGATTTTTCGCTTGCTCATTTTCGCCCTCATCCTCCAACTTGCCCTCAACTTGTTTTTCCTTCATCCGCCGCTTCCCCCTCTGTCTGCTGCTCTGCCCCCCCCCCCGCCCGCTCCACTCCCCCCGTCGATCGCACCCCCCCCCCCCCCCCTTCCAGCGATCTCGGCTCGAGCCCGCAATGGCTGGGCTGCAACAGTCCGCGTTAGCTGTGACAAACAGCCCGCGGGCGCAACGGTCCGCCCGCGCGCGACGATGCCCGCCGAGCAGCCGTTCAAGGATTTCTTGGCCGGCGCGGTCTACCCCGCCATCAAGGGCGACTTCGAGAGGCAGCTGAAAACGACCGCGAAGCGCTTCGCCGCGCGGGCGGAGAAGGAGAAGGCGGAGAGGGGGAAATTGGACAGGGAAAAGTCGAAGGAGGAGCAGCAGATGAAGGACAAGAAGAAGGACGAGGAGAAGGACCCGGTTCATCAGGAGATCAGCAGGGCCTACGAAGCGGCGAAGGAGAATGGCGAGCGAAGGAGAGCCTATGTGAACTCGGCGTTGACAGGGCCCATTGACAGCGCGCTTCTTCTGGATGGGATGCCGCTGGCCAAAGCGGACAACGCGGTTCTGGGCATGCTTCTGCGGGGCCCGCCCACGGACGGGGCGGCTGAGACGGCGCCCCAATCTCAGGTGGCAGCTGGCGACGTCGAGGCTCAACCGCAGAGAAAGCCACAGCGGCGGGCCGCGGAGACTTCATGCGAGGCGGCTCGGAGGCCAGGGCAGATCCCAGCGGCGGTCGAGAAGGGCGTCGAGATCCCCATCGCGATCGCCAGCTCACGCATGGCGCCCGACATCGGCAAGTTCAAGCGATTGGGCATAGACGTCGCGGCGGAAGCAGTTTGTCTGGCTTACTTGAGGGCTAAATAAGAAGGCCCCGAGGTGGCTGCAACCGCGCTCGAGAGGTTGATTCTTGATTGGCCCCGCGGTTTCATTCGCATAGAGGGGAGCTCGACCAGAAAGATCGAGGATAACAAGTGATAGTGTTCCGTGAACATGGCGGCGCGCGCGGGGCGCGTGCGGATCCTGTCGGGCTCGAGAACTCAAACCTCCTCCGCATCGCGGCCCGCGCGGCGGGCCTGGTGCAGGCCGGGGCCGCGGGGGGCGGGAAGCCCTCGCCAGTTCGCCAGAGAAGGTGCAGCAGTGGTTGCCCGCGAACGCGAAGTGGGGCTTGCCCCGCTGGCCTGGCGCCAAAACCGCGAAGAAACACATGGGCACTTGGGGCGCAATCCAAGTGCGCCCTGCAGAACTGGAGCTGATCGAGGCGGCCGTGAACCGCTGGCGGCGAGACAATCTGCTGGATTGGCCATCGAAGCTTGGGGGGTCGCTCTGAAACCCGACGCTAACTCGCTGCGCGCGCGGACGCCGGCATCGGGCTGGGCGACGTAATCTCGGAGATCTTCCAGGGGAACACATGCGTGGCGCCCTGTCTGCTGCAGTGCCCCGAACTCTTCAAAACTGGATGCAACTGCCAAGGGGGCGCGACCACGCGCGAGCGTGTCACCGAGACCCAGTCTATGCAGACGGCCAGGTTCTTCTTCGATAGCCCGCTGAAGTCCCCCCCGCAGACCGAGGGGCCCGACGGGGGCTCGACCCGGCTGCAGGCCCCGCCGACCGAGGCGCCGCGGCTGGCGATGAATCGCTTTTTCGATTTAGCCCAAGGCCCCCTCGAGCCAGAGATCACGGGCGCCCTCTCGCAACCGAAGGGGGGGCGGCGCAGCGTGGGCAAGTTCCACGATGCGCCCCAGGTGTCGAAGCGCTTATTCGGGAGCTTCCGGATCGCATGCGGCTCCCTCGCGGGGCCCCAAGATTGCTGCAAATAAAAAAAGCTGACAGCGAAACGGCGGTTGGAACAGCGGACGGCGCCAAAGGGGTTAGTCAGGAGGTGGCCTCCGATGACAAGCGGAAAGTGGAGGTCACGCAGAGCGACGCGACTCTCTTCAGAGGGCAGTGCGAGAAGGTGCGTCGAGAGGAGATCGAAGGACGGGTGTCTATGCTCGTCGCAGAGGGTTCAGATGTGGACATCGATGCCGCGGTTGCGAAAGCTCGTTTCTACAAGAACCTCGCAGAATATGCAACATCAATGGGTCTCTACGATGCAAAAATGCGAGGTTGTGCAGCGTCTTCGAGGGGCAAGGCTTCGCCCGCCGTGAGCCTGCGCTGTGCGAGCAAGATTTCGAACGGCACCTCAGGCCCCTCGTTCCGCCCATGCCCCCCGGACGGGGCGCGTCGCGGGTGCTCGGGGGCCGCGCGGGGTCAAACATAGGGGGGTTGAAGCGGGTCCTGGCCAAGATCCTCTTCTTTTTTTCAAGCGTGCCACTTCGGCTTCAACCCAAAGCAGATGATGCTGCGCGGGCATTTCAAGAGGCAAAATGGCGTCGCAAATTCGCGCAGTCACGAAGTGATTTTCCTTTGCTACAAGGGCCGTTTGCCGGTGCAGCTCGTCAAGAGGAGGGCGCGCGTGGGCGCGGGCAGCCCCGCTTCCACCGATGTGGCGCGGAATGCGCCTGCACCCCCGCAGAAGAGCCGTGCCCTCATGTTGCGCGAGATTCGAGAGACCAGCTGGCAGTCGATGATCGGCGCGTGCCACTCCGAGGTGGAGGCCAAGGAGCTCCCGGAGCAACGGGCCCCCCCGACCGACGAGGAGGGCGCGGGGGCCGGCGTGGATGTTGGCGCGGATGCTGGAACAGTTGCGCCCGAGAAGGTCCTCGTGACTGCGGCCGTCATGAAGCAGAAGCACCGCCGGCAGCTTGCGGGCACCGAGGTGCCGCGGCCCCCCCGCTACGACGACGTCGAGCTCCGAGAGGAGTTGCGCCGCGAGGCGGGGGGGCCCCAGGGGGTGTGCTTCGGGGCGCCTGCGGGCGGAGCGGGAATGCACGGCTGCGCGGAGATGGGCTGCGGCGTTTTGGACTGGTGCTACGACGAACATTGCAGGAAACGCTTGGGTCTGTTCCTCGTAGAGCGAGCCGCCGAGGCCATGATCGGAAGCAATGCCATGGCATTCGCAGGCTTCGGTAGCACTCTCGGCGCAATTGCGATCGACGAACGAGGGCGCGAAGGAGGGCGAGAGGGGGGTCAGGGGGGGGGGGGGGGGGGCGAGGAAGGAGGAAAAAGGGTCAGAAAGCGTGCAAGACGAAGAAGACGAGGAAGCCCAAGAAGAAGGCCGACGTTGGCTCGCCCTCGGACTCGGACTCGGACTCGGACTCCGACCCCACCTCCGAGGAGGACGCGCCGAAGAAGAGGAAGCCGAAGACGGGGGGGGCTTGAGCACGGGGCGGGGCAGCTCCGAGGAGCAGCTCAGCCCGCCCCTGCTGGAACAGGTGTTCCGCGTTTCGATTTTGGCGACGACCGCGTCGCGCTCCGCGGCGCCGACGGCTGCTGCGAGGCGCGGGGTGGCTGCGAGCGCGCTGGGGCATGAGCCACTCGGCGGGGGCCGCGAGCAGCTTGGCACCTGATCCGCGCGCTGGCGGCGTTGCCCCCGCGACGCCAGCCGCCCGCCAAGTTTCGGCGCGGGCTGCGCTCGCTGGGGAACGCTGGCAGCGAGGTGCTTTTCCCGATTCCTGCGCGCCGTAGTTGCGCCTCGCGATGGTGCGAGTTCGCCCCCATTCGCCCTTCGTCGCGCGCGTGGCGGGCACGGGGCAGGGCGCCCTCGGCGCTCAGAGTGGTGTTTCTTACTTCGCGGGCGACGGCAAGTCGAACGCTGGCGCCATGGGGAAATTGAAGACAGCCGCTGCAGGCGCCAAGTCCAGGACGCCAGGAGCGCCGAACCAAAATCTGGCGTTGGAGAAGGTCACGACACTCAAAGTGGAGGTTGCGTGGCCCCATGCAGTTTCCACGGGTACCTGCGCTCGGCTCTGGAAGACTGCGCTGGGCGACAACCGGGGGAACTTGGCGACCGAGCCCGCGGGGGTGCGAGGGCGCGAGCAGGAGGCTGCAACAGCTGAGGAGGCAACCGAGGAAGGAAACCTCGATAACATAATAGGGGTTGCGTTTGCCGCCGAAGATCCGACCCCGCGGGGGCCATTTTCGCCGGCGGCATATGCCGCGCGCGGGGCGTCTAGTTCGAGGGCGATCGCCTCGGGCGCTGAAAAAGCTGAGGCCAGCAGGGGTGCCAATCTGCCTTCGCCGGAGCTCGAAGCGATCAGCGCGTTGCGTCGCGCCGGGGGCCCGAGCAGGCACGAGGACCTGGAACGCGCTTGCACCGTGGACTTGGCAGCGGAGCTCGGTCAGGGAACTTTTGGCAATACAGATGTGTGTATATATTTGTATGTTTGTATACATGTATATGTATGAATGTATATATATATATATGTATACTTATGAATATATAATTATATATAATTATATATATATATATAGCACGGCACGAAAAAACTCCCCGCGGGGACGAAACGAAAAACGAGGCCGCGCCATGGAGATGTTGAGGGACGAGGCGGCTGAGGTGGCGAAGGAGCTCAATGCTGATGCCCAGGCAGCCGCTGATGACGAGGTCAGGCGACGCGTTGCCCTGGGCTTGCGCCCGGACGTCGTTCGGTTAGTCGACGTGGGCTTCTTCAGGCAGCTGCAACAGCCGCAGCTGAAGAGCTGGGTCTGGTCGGTCAACGTCGGCCACGTGTTCGAGCTGCACGAGATCGACGCGCGCCACTTCCATCTCAGGAGTGGAAGGGTGTCGGACGGTGCCATTGGACGAGGGCCAATTCGTTCCAGAGCGTTCCGGCACGCTCTCAGAGGGCTCCGGAACGCTCTGAGAAGGCCGCGGCGCCCGATACATATTCCAGAGGCGCTAGCTCTCAAAGATCTCCGATGTGTTCTCACCCGAATGTGTCCTCGTCTTGGTTTCGTCTCAGGATTGAATCTGGCCGCATCGCTCGGGAGGTGGTGCACCGCAGGCGAGGCGCGCAGAGTTTTCATCCGATGGGCGTGCGCCGCCGCTCTCGGCTCCCCCAGCTCGCGGCGTCGTTCCCGACGCGGCCGCCGTTCCAAGGTCCGAGCAGCTGGCGCCTGCTCAGCACGCGCGCGGCGAACATATAACTTCACCGAGAACATCACAATGCAAGCGTGCCCTCACCAGACTCCCCGTCTTTGCGTTTGGGATAAGACATCAGCAGAAAGACAAAACCCAAACCCTAATGTTTATGGCCCTCCTAACCTGGGTTCCCTCCCGAAGGGTTAGGGGCTTGTTTATTGCTAGTCAGCTGGCGGCTGACCAGCACACGCGCGGCAAACATATCCGCATCCGCGCCCTCGCGGGTTTCCGTGAAACAGTGCCCCGTATCCGCGGGGTCGCGGCCCAGGGTCCTGTCCCGCGAGGCCCAGATATGGACATGTTCTTCGCCTGCGACGAGCACCTGCTCCTCCGACGGGGAGTCTTCGGCCGTCAGCGCGTGCCCACGAACCCCTCCGCGGAACGCGCACCGAGAGAGGGCCCACATGGCTACGGAGGGGGAGGATGGAAGGGCGGGAGGGAGAGGAGGGAGGGAGGAGGAGGAGGAGGAGTAGGAAAAGGAGCAGGAGGAGGAGGAGGAGGAGGAGGATAATGAGGACGACGAGGACGACGAGGACGACGAGGAGGAAGGGAGGAGGAGGGGGAGAAGCAGGAGTAGAGGAGGATTGCGAAGGGCATGGGTGAGGGAGGTGGATGATGACGATGAGGAGGAAGAGGATCGGGGCGGATCGGACTTGTTGACTTTGGGCGTTGCATCGATACCGCCGCGATTACTCATTGGCCAATGCGCCAGTGGCCGCCAACTTTGATGGGGCGCCCCCCAAGCCTCGGTCAGGGCCGCAGTGCCCCTGTGAAAGCAGCCCCCACCTGGGCACGCGTCCATGGAGGATGATGATTGCTGCTCCTACGAACTGTTGGCCAGCAGCGCAAGCGAAAGCTACCGCGTTCAAGTAGCCGATTGAGCGCGCTGGATTTGGGCACGCTAAGACAGATGGATAAGAAGAGAACGACCGCAGAGGAGGAAAGCAGGAAGGAGGTCTCAGACGAATGGACTCTACGCCGTGAGGTGCGCGCAGGCAGCCCCAGGCACCAGGAGCCGGTGCACCAGGAGCCGGTGCACTCGCAGGTTGTGCGGATCAGCGCATGCTGCCGAAGGGGGGGCAGCGCCAGGGGCCATCGAGAGGCATAGCCGTCATCAGATGGGCGGCGGGCGCATGCCGTCCGTCATGCATGGCAGACGCGCCCTTACAAACAAATCACAAGCGAAAGTTACCAGGATGGAGTTGACGCTCAGAAGCTGGATGATCCACAAGCGCAACCTGCAGGCCGATTTGTCGATGCTGTTGCTGGATGCTGGCTGTTAGCCGTCAGGCGGCGCGGGAGATATACAATGAAATTGAAGCGAACATAGCAGGACAGTGTTTGGAATACCAGCGACATGGTCTGAGGATGAGGGGGAGGAAGAGAAGGAGGAGGAGGAGGAGGAAGAGGAGGAGGAGGAGGAGGAGGAGGAGGAGAAAAAGGAGGAGGAGGAGGAGGAGGAAGATGAGGAGGAGGAGGAGGAGGAGGAAGGGGGGGGGGGGCTGCGCTCCCCCCCTCTCTCTGGGCGCGCGGGGACCTGGCCTGAAGGCGCAGGCCATGTCCATCACGCAGCTGCGGAACGCCCTCTGGAGCCTTGCGTGGGGGTTCACCGCCGCCGTCATCGCCGTCGCCGTCGCCGCCGCCGTCGCCGCTCGCCGCTGTTGCCGCCCGCCGCCGTCATCGTCGTCTTTGCCGCGGCCGCCGCCGCCGTCGTTGCAGTCGTTGTCGTCGTCGTTTTGCCATTTTGGCGGAAGGCACTTCAGAGGCCAACCCAGACACATCGATTGCACGACCGTTGCACGACGATTCATAAACTACTCATTTTGATCGGCTCGCCCCACGAAGATTTGACACTCCCTCTCGCAATGACGGCTGTTGTGATCAGTGGTGGGACTCCGACCTGGGCTGGGCATCCCGCCGCCGCCGCTCCGTTCTCGCCCCCTTTCGCCTCCCTAGGTTTTGTGGTGGAGGCGTTGGAAGTAATGCGGCGGCTCCTCGACGCGAACAAAAGACAGCTCATCTGATATTTTGGAGAAGTGAACGGCCATATTCTCTCTGACGACAGTGATGGCGGCAACACTGCTCCGACCCAAGGTGTTGCAGCCGAGTCTCCCGCACAACCCGCAGCGTTTCCCGAGGGATTCGGACCGGGTCCGGCACGCCTGTGCCGCGCCGTGATTGACGATGTTTGCATGGCTTTTCGGTATTATTTTAATATTCTGCCGCTGGAGACGAAGGTGAACAGCTGCGTTCATCAAGTAATTAAGTCGGGTAAACCCGTGACTGAGACGAGAAAGACCTTGTCGATCTTCGGGCCAGAGTTGTGATGTCTTGAAATTGGTGGCGCGGCTGGAACTGGCAGTGCAAGGGGAGGGGGGCGGAAACATGTGCGATTGTCCCAGACAGTTCCACGGCGGGCCCGCCAGCTTCCCGAATGCCAGCGGGGAAAAAAAAACGTCAGATGTCGTGCGTCTGGGGTTGGAATATCGCGAGTGATTAGAGAGAGGTGTTGACGAAGGCCCACGTCGTGGGTATGAAGACAGTTTCTGCTGTCGACAGCAGCGAGAACCGAGCGTGAGAGCCCCCGTCGGGCGCGGGGCTGCGCGGCCAAGATGGACGGCACAAAATTCGCGGCATTTGATTCCCCCCCTCGCGCGCGCTGCATGCAGGGCGCCGTCAGCTGCGGCGCGCAAGTGACAGGTTTCCTGCCTTGCATGCCTAAAGCGCACTGAAAGGCGCCAATGGAAGTGGGCCGCCCTGGCCCCCGAGACGCTCGCAAGCATGATCGGCGCGCCCAGGGGCAAGGGCTCGCTGGTTTTCTCGGGGATGCACATGCCGCGCGAGGCGACGGCGAAAACGCCGCTCGAAGGTCTGACGCGCGGCCCCCGACCACGCGGCTGGAAGATCGCGAGCGGCGCTCAGGCGGAGATCGACGATCCGCCGAGGAAAGGCGCCGAATGATTAGGTGCGGGGCCAGGGGGGCTTCCGTCCGGCGACGACATTGCCCCCGCATATTGGAACTGCGGGGGGGGGTCCGCCGACGGGCAAAGGGCGCGGAGCTGCGTCTGGGCGCACTTCGCGATCGAGATTTCACCGGCGCGCGTAAATTTTATATCGCGGAGACTTCGGGCCACGCGGCGGCCCCATTGCCCCCGCGAGGGAAAGGGCAAGGGCGGCCGGCAGCCACTGCACGCTACGAGGACCAGTACCTTGGCCGACCCTCTGCGGCAGAGGAACAGCGTCGCCGCGGGCGTCGACGCGACCCGCGGTGGCGCCAGTGGGCGAAGTGATCGCATTATGACGCCGTCTCCACTGCGCTGGCGGCGGGTGCAAACGTTTCTTGCGGCCAAGACCAAACGCCGACGACGGCCGCGGGCCCCCCCTCGCGCAGCTCGGGCAAGTATTTGGAAGACAGACCATAGGCCGCATCCTGAGCAACGCATGGGGCGAACCGTGGATGGGGCGCCGCGCGTGCTTCTGCGGCGGCAAGCGCGGGCCGAGGCAGACTGGCATCTCGACGATTGGCGGCCGGCCGTCGAGGGTGTCTTATGGTTGTCAGCCTCGCCAGCGCGCGGCGTGGAAGAGTGATCGCTGCTTGCTGGTCTTTCGCTCTGCTGCTTCGGAAATGCCGGCGCCTGTCCCTGCGCGCAGCGTCGCGCGCAGTTGTGCTTGCGATGCCGTTGGCTGGAGGCCGATCAAATTATTTGGCTCTACGCAAGTTGACGGGAAGTTTTGGACTGAAGCGCCTTGGGGGTGCAATCTCAGCGACGCGACGCATCGCTTGTCTAGCTGCGGCCGCTGTAAAACATGTATCTTACAGCTCAAACGACCTGCGGGCGAAGCGTTGCTGCCTTTCGCAACCCTTTGGCACCCCGCAAATCCGAGGGCCCCTGGCACTCGAGTCGACCCCGCCTACCAGAGCTGCGGCCCAATGCGTTCGAATCCCTTGGGAGCTACCGAGGGGGGGTCAGGCGCGCCTTCGGCGCCGGCGAGTTGCCCGGCGCGTCCGAGATGGGGCCCCGGCCGCTGGGGCCGCATCCACCTTCGGGCGCGGCCACTTATTCCACGGGGCTCACTTCGGGAGGGGGCTATCGATTCGACATGCGTCCTGTGTGTAGCATAATGGTGCAGCAAGTATGTCTCGCCCCTAGCTCTCCTGGACCGTGGCCCTGTCGCTCCTAGCTCGGGCCGCCCAGGATCTGGCCCGGAAGGGCCGCGGTTTCTTTGTGTCCGGGGTCGGCTTTCGGATGCAGTTGGTTGGAGCTGCGCGGCCTCCCGTGGCCTCCCGGGCCGATGCGGCGTCGGCCGCGCGCGTCCTTGATCTCGGATGAGCGAAGTAGTTTTTCTCTGCCGCTGCTATGTTGTCGACGCAGAGATGCTGCGGCGAGGGGGCCTGTTTCTTTTTCGCTTCGCCCGGCTGGGCCGCGAGCGAGCGCGCAGTTCCGCGAGGTTTGGCGCGGGTTGTCGGGCGAGCCTCGCGAGACTTTTTCGACCCCGCCGAGCAGCTGCGAACCGGGCGCTGCTCCGCCGGAGAACATGATCAATCGCGGAGACAGTCATGGGCCCCTCTTCCCGAACATGGGACAAATCGCGCCCCTGACGGGCCGGGTCGCCGACCTGCGGCGCGAAGTCGTCCGCGGGCCCACCAAGGGCACCCGAGCGCATCTCTTGAGTTGCAGAGTAGAGGCGCACTTGCAAGCGCCGGGCGCGGGGCAGGGCCCCGCCTCGAGACGCGCCGTGGGCCTGCAGATGGCGGCGTTGATCCGGCAGCGCGCGCTCCTGGCCGCGGCTTTAAGCGCGCGGCATTCCGCGCGGCGCGGGGGGCTGGGGGGGGGCCAGGAGGCGGCGCGAGGTCGAGGCAATCGAGGCGGGGGGAGGGCGGCGGCGATGGACGAGACGGCGCCGAGGGACGAGGTGGCCATATTTTTCGACGCTGGCCACGAATATTTGGACGGCCCAAGACTGCCGAAGTGGGCCCTGCAGGCCTGGGGGCCTGCAGCCTTGGACATGCCGCCGTCAAAAGCAGGGCGCCGAACTCCCCCTCGCGCCCGCCCCGACAGACGCCGGGGACGACGCGTTCATGGGGCGATGTAGTCGCGGGGGGAAATGCTGAAAGACCCGGGCGACGAAACCCTGGGGGGCCCGGCTGAGTTCAAGGTTTTCCACGCGTCGTTAATCAGCCGCCCAGGCGAAGTTCAAGGCCTGATGTCTCGCGGACATTCGGCGATTTTTATCGGGCGAAGTTCTATGGGGCTTGCGAGGTGTCTGATTTTGATATTATTGCCTGCTGTCCTGCATGCGGAACGCGTGCTCAATGTGCTTGAGTGGGCTCGTCGAGTTCAGCGGCGCGCCGCTCGCCCGCTTTGCAGTTCCCTTTTCGCCGCGGGCACCAGGTGCGCGACGCGGCGTCCGCCGCGCGCTTCCTCGGGGCGCGGTCCGTAGAATTGCGCCGGCCGCTTCGCCGTGGGGAGGGCGATCTGCGCGCGGTTGACGACCGCGCGCGCGCCGCGCGAGACCCCCGAACTTCTCGCCGCGGCTTGGCACCGAGAGCTGCGCGAGAGTTGCCCCGAATTTCCCCCGCTGGGACAAGCGCCGGCGCGACCGGTTGCTCGCGCGAGATTTCTGGTGCGCGGGGGGCCCGAGCCCCCGAGGCTTTCCGACGTGTTCTAGGTGCTCCGATCGAGCAGTTTTGCGCCCAAGCGACGAGGTCGTTCGGGGGTGATTGGCAGGGCCAAGCGACGGAAACCCGACCTTCTGATTCAGCGCCTGCCCCTGCATGTCTTCGCCGACAATTTTCACATCTTCGCTGCGTCTCCGCAGGCGCCGGCAGCCGCGTGCAATGTGCGGCGCGATCTGCATCGGGCGCAGCGCTCGCGCGATGCCATGCTCAGCGACTGCCGCTGGACGTCCGCGGCTGCGGACTCGGCCGCCAGTCTGCAAATCATTGAGGGGTGGGTTTGCAGGGCTCCATGGAGGGAAGGCTCCGGGATGCTAGGCGCGCGGGCCACCCTCGGCTGTTCGCCGAGGTATTAACAGAGCTCGTGCTGCGCGTGGCAAGCATGGGGGTACGTGATGCAACAGGAAGACCAACCTGGGGCAGCGTCTCGGGCTCCTGGATTCCGCGGTTCGCCAGGCCGCCTGCTTCGGTTTCGTCAGTTTGAATTTTACAAATGCACGCCTGAGTAGTATGAAGGGCCTTCCAACTCCGCATGTTAAGATAGATGGCCAGCCTTGAAAATGCCCGAAGAGGAGAGCAAGTACGATTGCATACAGCGCCTTTTTGAGGCATGTGTCGCATGATAGAAAAGGCATCGTACTTTCCTCCTGTGATGTTTATGCCCTCCAGCTCAGTCAGCATGGGGGTGGGCGCGTCGCTGGGGCGTTTCTTTGTGACTCCGCCGGTGTGCGTGTGTGTGTGTGTGTGTTTGTGTGTGTGTGTGTGTTTTGCTAAATGCAATGTCTACGCCGGCTTGCGTTTCTTGGAACGGACTCGCGGTAGCCAATGCCACCGCTCTGCTCTGCGCGCCTGGATCTATCAGCGCTCTTGAAAGAGGATGGAGAATGTCCGCCCTGGGCGCCGAGAAATGCA